TAACAAACAAATGGAACGGGGCGGGGATAAGGGAAACAGCGAGCAAGGAAGGAGGGGTTTGTGTCCGCACAAATAGGGGATAACGTACGATAAGTCTAATACATCCCCTTAATCGGGGCGTTTACCACGCTTCCGTCTCCTTCTCGGCAAGAAGCCGATCGGCGCTAACGGTTGCCAAAAATGCGCAGTTGGCCTCTTCAGTCTTGAGCTCGGGGCAGTCGCGCTGATAGTGGCCCTTCTTTGAGCACTTGAAGCAGGTGATGCGCTCGAGCGGGGTGCGGGGCTTCGTGTAAGCAGCAAGGGCGACTTCGGAGTCATGATGAGGCGGGTTGAGGGACAATTGGCGCGACTCTTCGTTAAGTAAGCGGGTGATGATGTAATCGATGGTAAGCTCGCTAGGCGGGGTGGAGTCGAGATTGACGACCAGCTGAGAGTACGAATCGGGGAGGCCATTCGTGAGAACGAGGATGCGGTCTTCATCGGAGATAGAGGCGTCAATCTCCTCGAGGCGGAAGGCGGCCCGGCGGACGTCAGCGATCCACGATGTCATCGTTTGTTCGGGGCGCTTCGTTAGGCGCCAGAAAGTGCGCCGGTGCGCGACCCGGGTACCAAAGCCGCGGGCACGGTGGACGCGACGGAGCTCGGTCCAGACTTCGTGAACGTCTTGTGATTGGATGTGGGCGTACTGGGTGGGCTCGATATTCAGGATAATCTCGGCGCGCGCTTCTGCGATCTTCGCACGCCAGGCACGCACAGCCTTTGTGTTATCAGAGCCGGAGGGGCGGGTTTCATCAGCAGGGGCGCTCGTAACCTCCCAGAGACCCTTGCGAACAAGGAGGGCCTCCATGCCGATAACCCATTCGGCGTAGTTGTCGTCGGCGAGCTTCGCAATTGTGGGCGGTGCCATCGGGGCGGGAGCAGCGGGGAGTGCGGGGCGGTCATGGTTACGGGGTCGTCGGGGTGCACGGGGTCGTCGTCGGGTCGGTCGTCGTCGGGTCGGTCGTCGTCACGGGTCGTCGGTTCGTGTGATCGTCGAGTGGCTTCGGCCCCACTGGGCAGTGCCTCGAATTATCCTTCGGGCAGAGGAGACACGTTTGTGAAGAAGTTTGAGGGCAAGCGGGCACAAATGGGATTCGCGTTTGGCCGGTGCAAACGCGTGCCGTACACAGTAGATACAATAAGGCTTATATACGTAGCTAAATAGGGGTAGATAAGGGCGCGGGTATCCGTCGGGGGGCGGGACCTGTGGCGCTCGTTCCGCGAGCTCGCCATCTTGACGCCAGGATTCCAACAGACTTGAGAATGATGAGTGGGCCCGGAGCACCACCGAGCAACCGCGAAACGATGTTCATGATAGCTGTTTCAGAGGCTTCTGTTGGTTCCTGATGATTCCCATCAATCACGGTGTGACTCACCTGTATACCATTGGCCCTGAGGTAACTCAGAGACCCTCTACAGCGGTTACTTGGCATTTCTCCAGTGGCACATGTCGCGAATGCAGTCTTTGTTGTTTTCAGGAATACACTTGATGCAATCAAGGGTTTAAAACCTGTCGCAATCTGTTGACAACGGCTAGTACCAGTGTACTGTTCCGTGTCAGAGATGAAGCAACGGGTGGCCCTATATGTGTCCGTTCCTGGTCCTATGATCATTCCGTACAGACGTACAGCAACTCTAACGTTCCAGATTGACTACTCAGCAGATTTCGAGCTTCGCGTCTTACGCTACTCATGGTCCCTTAGTTGTCTCAAATGGTTTTTTCTATTCCCTCTGTGAGAGCACCAGACTACAATTGTGTAATCCGATGTATGATGAGGCAACAACGATCTGACGGCCCTAACGCTTCCACCATTCTGCCCAGATGCACTACCCCCTGTACCCTGCTGCACCCTTGACAGAGTAGACCGTCGGAGACGTGCCTAGGAAGATTTGCCCTGGCTTGTCTCAGCCTCATCCCTGTCACTATCTTGAGTCTCGTCAAGCTCATCTTCTGATTCATCTTCATCAGTTTCGGGTTCCTCCTCACTCTCCGGCAAATCACACTCATCTCCTTCCCGCATCTCCAGTAGGGTGGGATATAATCTACGGAAATCCAGATATTCCAGGGAGATCTGCTGATATCTTGTTATGATGAGCTCCCGGAATTTCCATCAATTCCGCGTAGTATGTGATCATGCTACCGCGCTTCAATGATACCTGGCCATCCGATTCTACCAGGCAAACATTGGGATATGGTACTGGTTTGGAGATTCCGCCATTCGTTGCTTTGAACATGAGTGCGATGTCCACTGGAAGGTATCGCTCATGTGTCTGGCCCCGAAGTGTCAGCTGGAGCTCAATGTGTGTCTCCGCCACAAGGGTCTTCACATCAACAAATGGATGGACTTGGGAAGGTTTCAAGGTGATGGCGATACCTTGCGGTATTTCTATTTCCTTATCCGGCAATATGGCCTTCGAGCATGCATGTCGATAATGACCAATCTGATAGTCCTCGGTACCAGAACCACCAAGCCAGTGGAACACTAGTACCCTGACAGGCATTGCCTATGTACGCAATTATTCTCCGTATTCAGCTCATGCGTGCATACAAGGAACTGGAATCTCACGGTATATGTTTCGCCATTCTCTAACGCTTTGTTGATTCTCTGAATGTGACCAAGATCGGGCGTAAACGTCCATAACCCTCTAGCATCATATCCAGTGTGATGCTTATGGCATACTGGTGATCTGTAGTTAGGCCTGTGGGCATCTATGTTGTCACGAAGTGGGAATTGACTCACAGGAAATGAAATTTCCATCAGACAGCTTGTCAAAGATCTCCTCTCCCGGTGTTCTGGAGACCATATTGAAGTTTTTGCAGGCCGTGATTAGCTGGCATAATAACAAGCTCGTGCTGAGGACGTTGAACCTAGTGTGTGTTTGAGTACAACATACCTGATGATCATCATAGTGTGTCTTGGATATCAGATGAGCGCACTGAATATGCTTCGTAGGTTGCTTTGGTCGATGCAGGTGACCGCAGAGGATACACCTGCTTTTCCATGCATCCCTGATGTTGTGCCGCTGTGTGGAGTTTATGGAAACGGAGGAGTCTCGAGATGGCACGTTGAGAAGCGATGTATTGGCTTTCATATTGAGGAGCTTCTGAAGTGAGGTCGAGGGTAGGCGACAAATGAGAACAGGCTTGATGAGGTATAATACCAGCCTATCGTGCTCACCTCATATATATATACTAATTAGACCTCCTATAGCTGTATAGCTACTTCTCTAAGTCAGAACTCGGAGACTCCGCCACATTTCGATTTACATCCTTGAGCCGCGCATAACTGTACCTGAAATGATGAGGTCTCCATCATACCGGACTCGACACTCACTAGCATACGCACTCAGAGCAACAGGTTGTAAGATCTAATGATGGTGAAGGTTCAGGTCACCATGAAATCACCTCCATTACTATGCCTGATAGGCTATGGGATGTTAGCATGGCCATCAACTTGTTGTCAAGCTCGAGGACTCCGTGAATGGAGATGTTGATCAGGCGTGCTATGACACAGCGCCAAGGAAGCGGAAGGAATCACGCGCTAGCCTTGTGGTATAAATTACAAGCATACTTGCACCATCTGACAGCAAGTCACATCACTCACTCGCTACACTCATTCCGAGATTGTAATCCGTCTCATAGCCTGAATATTCTCTGCCACCATGGAGGACATACCCCTGAACTCAGCTCAATCTAAGGCCAACGAAACTGTTCTGCAGAGCGTTGCGGAACTATACAACGACCGGTGTGCTCTCTGTCCGTGGCGCGATGAAAAGCACAAAATATATCGCGTTTTGTTCGACAATGCTAGAGGCAAGAGCCAGGTCCGTTGTCGATTTCTCCGCAAGCCTTTGTACTCATGGCTAGATTCTGCATAGATCCAATGGCTCAAAGAAGCTAATATAGCTACATTGGCAGTAGACAGCCCCGACACACTTTTCCCATGTGAGAGAGACTTTGAGCAATCGTGTAAATTGTGCGAGCTAAACTAAGATTATGACAGTGTGCGATAAGCATATTGAAGACCTCCTTGAGGTCAAATATGTCCTCTGTCCCCCGATTATGGATCTTGAGAGCTTGTTGCAATTCGAGAAGGACGACTGGAACAAGCGAATTGCGGAGGGAACGTTAAGGGACCGGAGGATTCCATCGATCAAGGTGTGTGATAATCAACAGTAAGGGACCAGCTCCGTAACATGCCAATATGTTCATAGGATCTCAGCGGGAAACTCTCCTTGATCTGGGTATCGCAATCTACCTCAGAGACAGCAGATATCTTGGACCTGAGCTTTTGGTTGACCGGACTGGGTTCCCCGCAACCCTCGGACGACTCGGATGAACCGCTTCCCTGCGTCTTAAGTCCGACATGTCCCCATCAGGTTTTGTTCGACATGAGGGCCCGCAGCCGTTCAGTGGGCATGTTGAAGACCCACATTATTCCCAACAACCCCAATCCCGGATGCACACTCGAGATCTGTATAGATTTCAATCACACAAGAAAGAAGAAATTCGTACAGCGTATCAATCCTTACGCGTTTCTCGTACAAGCCATGGCGACGTTAGGAAATGCGTCGATGCCGGCCGAGCTCTACTTCATACCAAACACCGCCAGTGGCTCTATGCAGCCCATCTATGTCGAGAACCCGGTCTCAAAGGTTCACTCTCTGCTGTGGGAGCTACGTAATGCATACTCGAGGACAAGGGAAGATTGCATGAAAGACAGGGAACTCTTCCAGAAAGGCGAGCACCCCCTGCAAAGTAATTCTGCCATGTAAAAGGTGCGTGATCGTCCGAGCTGGAGTCCCGGCAAATATTTATACTGCTGTTCAAGGCAAGCAGTAGGCGCTGGCTTTGATGTGCGTCCAATGCAGCAATACCCCAACTAGTGTGAACAGTCGTGCTTATGAAACATGTACGCGAGTGGTATACTGTAGGAGGGATGGGGGCGTCATACTTGAACCTTTGCAATGGGAGCGCTGCAAGTCTTGCAATCTCATGAAATCAGTCGTACCTTTCGTTAGTAAAGATCATGAATAAATGCTTGGTACCATATGCACTCAGCGTACCTTGATAGATGCGCAACAGTGAAGCATGCATTGGATGTGTCTCGCAACGTTTCCGACTTGCTTCAACCTAGGGCACTTTACATGATGTGCCGTCGCACCTGTAGCGTCATCCAGTATCATGGTCATAAATATTAACAGCGTGCTCATTTTCCCGACCTTCCGGGGACATTGATCTCGTGCGATACGATAAGAAGTTGAAGCGAGGGTATATACATTGTACTAGAGCGATCGGCGAACAGCTGACTCAAGTCCAATATCACTTCAATTTGGGGGGAGCGACAGTCTACAAAGCGAATTGCCAAGTGTATGTCTCATCTACGTCAGGATTTGGATTTCCTGTGATCGCCGACTGACCTTCGATGAACAACGGCTGCACCCCCTCCGGCACCTTTGCCAGCTTCTCTGACGTCCCCTTATGCGCTCTTGATCGTGAACCGTCCCCGCATACAGGCGTACGCCTTGAACTCCCTTATGTGCTCGACGACATATAGCGAATGAGCGCACAAGAGTTTGCCTGGTTCCAGCCCGTGGTGTCGTCCATCTTGACGGCGATCAGTTCACATGCACGGCGCTCATGACTTCCAGATACGACATCTATGGGCTTGTCGCCCCCAATCTAGCTGTAGACCTTGACACTTTCGTGTACGCGCCTCCTGAGGGGCTGGTGAATGGGGGCGTTGTAGCGCGAATCTTTGGTATCCCAGAGCGCGATATCCAGGACCGGTAGGACCGGCAGCGCGCGGTGGAGATACAGAGCTAGCTATGTGTAGCTGAGTAGTCGCGGTATAGTCAGATGTGCATCCAACAATGCGGGCCGCGGGCCTTTCTGCTCGCGACATCGAGAAATTCAGCATCAACTTACTTCGTCTATCCTTCTAACGTTGTGAACTAGAGACCTGGGTCTTCGCTGTGATGGCTCTAAGTGTAGCCCACAGCACCATGTTCGCGTTTGGCGCATGCGATGAGCCGTCACAGCGGGGTCCGGTGTCTCCAGATCGCAGACGCCTCCAAGGCTACCACTAGTCGCTGGAAAAAGCAGAGTACGGAATCTCACGGAGATCAGCGAATTGGGTACACCAGCTTGAGCTGTGAGCTGTATTGCTCCACGCACGTAGGAAGGGTGTAAGATGTTGAGATTTCAATGCACTGAGTCACGACTTTGCGTACGAGGTGGATGCCTAGCGAACACGCGAGGCAGGATTAGATTGGCGCAAGGTGACGCGACGTGTCCTTCAATGCGAGAGCTAACGCAGAGTAATACAATGAGTGCCAAAGGGACATTGACTCACGATGGCAATACGCGGGGCTCACCTTCAAGCGGTGCAAACTGCGATGACGCGTTGTGTTTGGCAACCGAATAGTCGCGAGAGTCCAAGGCTCTTATTTATCCTCCACATTGTCCGAGTCGTGCAAGTCCTCTCCGCGAATGAGATACTCTGTCGGTATGAAAGGAGGAAAGTTAGGCTACCAATTGTTCAGTTCAAAGTGACCGAATCACCATTGTAAGAGAAATAGGACGCCTATTCACTTGTCCTCGCGAGCCAGCAAACTCATCTTCTCAGGAGGCGTACCTATGTGCTCTCGCGGGCTCAACAATTTCCCCGAACGGCTGAGGACAGAAAGAGACCGGGCGAGGTCTATCGAGCACTGCCGATTATGTGCAGAGCACCCGAGACGCGTTCATGCAGCAGTACGCTCAGAAGCGGCAAGGTTTGGTGTATTCCGGTAGAGTCCGGTGGACAGCGAATCGAATGAGCAGATAAGTCCACTGCGATCCACAGTTGTCCGGCACCATACGATGGCACCAGATCGCGGCTATCTCAGAGCCTGAAACACCAGTGGGTGCCCAATCCGAACGGCGGGTTACAGCCAAGCGTGCCGATGTTCTGCGGCTCTATACCCTTTGCATACATGTTCTCCCACTCGCCCGTGATGCCCTGCACGACCTGCACGCCCGCAAGGTACATCATGTTCCGCACCGACGCATCGTACCCCGCGTCCTGCCCGTTGCACAGGCTGTCCGCCATACTCAGGCGTTCGGGCAGCATGTCAGAGTCGGAAGCTGTCCACATCGTAATGACGCGGCCGAAGTCGAAGTTGACACGACGTGTGAGTGTCCCGCGGAAGAGCGCTCCGAGCACCACCATCCTCCTGCTGGGTAGTGCGGTACACTCCCATGCCGTTCGTTGATCGTCATCTTCCCGAATCCAGCTCCCAGAAGCGCGCTGGTCGGACGCGGCCGGTCGCAGTCCAGCGCGCGTCGCGCCCTGAGTGCTTCAGCGTACTGTGTGGCTCGACGGTGTAAAGCCGGCTGTACTGCTGTTCGCTCGCACTTTCGTTCAGCTTGGCTCTGCGCGTGTGGAGAACGGCCCACTAAGGCAGCGCGTCGGTCAGCTCGAAGGCCTCAGTGCGGTAGATGTACAGTGACCACCAACCTGCGGTCCCTGAGGTACGTGTCGGGTAGGGAACCCCATCTATCAGCTCGCGCCCATCGACCCCTTACTGCAGTGCGGCCGACCAAAAACGGAGACACCGTAGCCAAGGAAGCCTTGTTTCAAAGAGATGCCTCCGTCGCCGGCGAGGAGACAGGAGGACTAGGAAAGGTTAAAGAGAGGGCTGTTGATGAGAGCGGACGTACAAGGCGACACGTTGATCTGGCCCTCACCTTTGACAAGCTGGCAGATGTCACCTCAGGCCGTGCAGTGCATGAGGAAGTGCCGCAGCAAGAAGAAGCCAGGAACGTTGCGTTGCGCAGGAAAATGAGTTCGGGGACGCTGACCCACGCTCTGGCCTGGTCGGTGTACTTCAAAGAACGCGCTTCGGAACCTAGTACACAACAATGCACTCTTGGAGTCACTGACGACGACCTCGGGTGATAAGGGATGTGGACGCGGCAGTCGTGAATGATGTCGACACGCTCGATAGTCGGAAGAACGCTAGAATCTGCTGCAGCGCAGTACTGCCATAGCATAGATGGTAGAACTGGCAATGCGGCAGATCTAGTGACCTTCGCTGATGACAATACACGCTAGGCGCAGGGCGGGGCACTGAACATGATCACGCACCTGATTCCTGGCATCGCTAGCCATGGCATCGGCTCTCTGAATCTAGTGCCGCTGAAAAGGGGGGCGGTATACAAGAGTACTGATCTTGGGAAGGTATCGGGAGTAGGGCGCAGAATTGTTCGAGCGGCGGGTGGGGGCGTCGAAACTGCCGGCAGGCGTGTGCAGAGATGGCGGAATGTTGGTACGGGGACCCTGACAAGATGTCTCCACACCGAGGGGCAGTCGCAGGGCACCTCGGTTCATGTCGCGGTGAGGGGCAAGACATGAGAAGAGAATGAGAAGATGAACCAGACGTCCAAGAGTAGTGGGCGGACAAGATTACAGGGAACGGACAACTCGCCTAGATGCGTGCAGAAGTGGAGGAACAGGGCGTGCCAGGTTTGAGACTGAGCAGATGGAAAGCACAGAGGAGGACATAGCAACATGGCACGATCCTGACACCGTAGTGCCGCGGTTGAGATGCACCATGTCCGCGGGTGGATGACAGAAGATGGAAGCACAGAGAGCGCAAGTGACTGTACTGGCAGAGTCGGTGAACTCCGGTAGACAGCGCTGATTTCCGGCAGTTTCCGGTGCACATCGTCGGAGATATCCGGAATTCGACCGATGCTGCCGGACTTCGTTGGGTAGCGACGAATACCAGGCTTCGCCGTTGGATTGCAAGGACAGCCATCGGATGTCATTGATATTGGATGTCATATTGGTTGTCATTGGATGGGCAGCTAAGTCCACTGTCATCCAGTGGCATCCGATGCCAATCGGTAACTCACAGTAGACTTCAGTGTCATGTGTACTCCAGGCAACATCTCCCAAAGCGCGGCATTCGACACTTCCTACCTGGTCGTATACCCAACAAAGCTGTAGCAACACGACTTCTGCTCTGACTACTACGTCCGTTTGGTCAAGGAGTGGGCATCCTACTTCATCGAAGCAGCCACCCGCTCCAGCTCTCTCGCAATCGGCGAGTTTGGGCATGACTTCCGGAGTTGCCTGTCCAATCCAGACATCAGCGCACATATATCAGACACCACGAAGTAGCGGGTGACGCACTCTAGCTTCGCCTGATTGCCCCGCTCCTTTCACTTTTTCGCCGCAGCTCGCCGGTCGTTACACAGCACGTACGAGTCGGCGCGTTTCGGGCCGTCGCATCGAGGAACGTACGACAGTGCGTCCTTCTGGTGCCCCTTCTCAACAAGATGCTTCACAAATGCCTCGTAGCCGATGGGGCTCCGCCGCGATTTGGCAAACACTTCGAGGCCCTCGAAGTCGTGAATTGAAGTGAGCGCTTGGAGCTTGACATACCAGAACCTACAGTGCCATCGTGGTCAGCGGTCGGCTAGAGACTGTTCAATACGAACGGGCCGCTTGTCGGGAACTTTGAAGTCGGACTTGATCTTGTCCGCCCGCTTCGCCATGCCGTTGACGAGGCTGAACGCTTTGTCCGAAGAACGCGAGCTTGCGGTCGGCTTCCTTCTCGAGTATTTGCTGTAGCGTCATGAGGTGTACGCTCTCGTCCATCATCTAGGCTTTGGATGAGTATATGCGCATGATGTATCAACTTGGGCGAGTCAAACCTTAGCTTCACATCAGCTGTCCTTGTCCTCGGAGAAGAACTTCTGCGCGGCTGCGCGGCCTTGACGGACGTAAGCTTCGCTGTCGGGTCCTACATGCATTGCATCAGCCATATTCTATCACCCTCCCGACGGACATAACGCACGGACGCGCTCGACGATGACCCGGGACAGCGCCTCGTCGCCCGACTCCAGGTCCGCGTTCTTGCCCGTGCCAGTCGTCTGCGGCTTCGAGCGGAGGATCTTCACGCACGCCCGGTGCTTGAGCACCGCGTCAGGCGGCAGGGCAAAGTAGAGATGCGGAGCGCGAGGAGGTGCAGGTTGCGCGCTAGCAGGCGGGAGATGAGGTGCGTGGGCGAGAGTTGGGTGTATTGCGTGTAGAAGAGTGGGATGCCGATCTCGTAGAAGCGCACGACGTTGAGGACCTTCAGCGTTTAGCCGACTTGGATAAAGTCTGTGGGGTCGTAGAGGACCGACCGGACTTTGCGGCCCGGATGAATGTATAAAATCGGCAACATTGGGAGGGCACAGGACATAGCGTACGTTCAGCAAGCGCCGCTGCCAGAAGGGCTCCGATTCCCGAGCAGCTGCGTCGATGCACTCGTCTACTGCTGCTGCGAGCTCTGGACGTATGCTACGGATACTTTCGTCAGCTTTCGGCGACGGCCTTGAAGAGTTCTCCTAAGCGTCAAAAGAATGACAGAAGGTGATATCGAGCCGGGACGGAAGACCGAGACAGAGGACGCTGCATCGCAGTATTAACGGGGGGTCGAAGGGAGCGCATTCGGGAAACGTACTGGGCACCTTTTGAACGAAATCACAGGTGTCTGGACCGATGATACGGGTACCGTCCAGCGTTACGGCATGGTCGACCCAGAGTAGAAGTATCTGGAATCGTATGCGCATACATATGGCGGGTGATTCGAACTGGTGTACCCAAACAGTCCTACGAGCACTGCATCGTTCCCACACCACTCCGATTGATGCACGTACCCTGATGGGTCTGCCATCGCACTCGTGTCGAACCCGGCCAAGCTGCGCCCGAAGTCGGTCAACACGACCCAAAGGAGTGCAGAAAAGGTGAGAAGGGCGAGCGACTAACCATCTCGGGAGGGCGATAATGGGTGAATGGCCCGCAGGATATGCGCTAGTCCAGGCTCTCTAGATCGTCGACACTATATCTCGTCGTCTCTACGGATAGCAGGGCTTCGACATGGCCCGCGATTGGAGAGGTTGTGACAAGCCTGCGCACGGCCTGTATGCGCTCATGGAGATGATAAAATCGAGTGAACGTACGGACCTGGGTTGGGCAGCGTGAGTGGCTTCCCTCCTGATTACTCCTTCGCCTCCAAGAACGTCTACGATCCTGGCAACGCAACGAGAGCATGCTCGGGTATCTGCGCATCGATGATCCGTCGCTCCCCGGCCTCGCTTCCAAGCGAGTATTCGCCTTGCAGGTCATACATTCAGTACGCACCCTCCTCATTGAGTACAACCAGTCGTTCGTGGCCTGTCCAGCCGCTGGGTCTCGATGAGGTGGAAGCGGTGGTCCGGGTTGGTCAGATTCAGAAAAACGTCATAGCTGTGATCGAGGACAGGGTTAGCGATGGTTCCTCGCGCGAACCGTTACTGGCGAAACACCTTGTTTGAGGTCTGCATATAATATTGGTTAGATAATGTCACGATATCGTGAGGTTCGTCATACTCGGACAAATCAAACATGTCGTAGTCCTCACCGATGTAGACACGGACGTGACAATGCGCGAGTGCCCCGCCAAGAGGCGTTCCGTTCTCCTGCTGGACAGTGCATTACACGCTGTGCAGCTTGTGAGGAGCGTAGTTGTATTCTCGAACGCACCTCCGCCCAACGTTCCCTCATCACACGCAAGTACGCGAGTGCGGCAGCGTACTTTTGGGTGCTCGCGGTGTCGTTCAGCTGGGCTCTGAGCACGAAGGCGATCGTAAGCTGTCGCTCGTCGCCAGTGAGGTGAAGGGGTTCAGAGTAGCTCATCGCGCACAAGGGATAGCAGACCAGTTGCCAGTAAGCCCAGGAACAAGAGCAAAGGAGCCGCAGAGCCAGAACGAGCGTAGCAAAGGAGAACAGAAGGGTAGGAGAAGTGGAGGAGTAGACGTATGACTATCAGCGTCGACAGGAAGGTCGTGGGGACATAGCGAATAACCTGCGCGACTGAAGGATGACCGTGCGGGGAGGGGCAGTCACAGCCGCACGTTCATGGGGTGAAGGTAAGGGAAGTGGCAAAGAGATTGGACAGAGATGGACAAGACCGGCAACTTACCTCTGCAATCGTAGAAGGGCAGCCGTACAGCGAGAGATATACCACGTCGAGACCACGGAGATGTCGGCCAAGGCCGCGCAGTGGACGGGGGGATAAAGACACGACATACGAGGAAGTCGATCTCAAGGCTGAGCGCTGCCGATGCACGCGTTGGCCCCATTAATTGATGTACCTTGGAGGATGATAGCACGAACACTCTCCAGAGCCTAGTGAAAGGAAATGAGAAAACGGAGTAACTCGATACTTGGAGTCTTGGACGCGAACCGGTGGCAACAGAGGCACGTGACTATCATCGCCCACTGTAGGCACCCTCGCTCGACTGAGCATACTGAGCTACAAGACATGAGACCTTGCTGTCACATTCACTTAAGCTAGAAATCTTGTTATCCAAAAGGTCCGCATATCCACTAGGGCATGCTCGCCTGAATGCTGCTGAGGCAGCTTGGGTCGGGATTTTAGGCCGTGAGGCAGGGGTTTACAGACATTACGGTTCAAGACACGTGAGAGAGTCGCGTCGCAGAGCTTGACGGGGGCGCCGCTCCGCTACTGACACAGCGCTCCGAGAACTTCGGAGTCTCCATTTACTTACCCATCACATATCCGAGTCATCTGGCTGAATTTCGCTAGAAGCTAGCTCTTGTTGGTCTCGTTGGTCTAGGAGCTTGCCCAGATGCATAGCTCACACAACATTCACCACTCCCGAAGTGCACCATCGGGTCCTGTCCAGACCACGTTCCTCCAGGCCTTCTCGCTAACATGTATGGCGGCCGCCTCTCTGACAAGCGTTTCGTTAATCTCTATGCCCAAGCCAGGTCCTGAAGACGTCATGAGACGAAGGCCTTGTACCAGTAGAAGCTCCGTCGTACCTTGCAGCGCCTCCACGTAGCCGTTCTTGATCGCGAACACCAAGGGATCGACAAGGTACGTGAGCAGATCCGCGCCTTGATTGTAGTGGATCTGGAATAGCAACGCTCAATACTGCCAGAGCGGATATTGGTAGTCAAGGTGCGCACCTGTAGGCTCATCTCTTGTATGAAGACTACCGTTGACATGTGTCAGCGATAATCCGATACAGGGCGAAACGCTCACAATTTGGCGAATTGAGATCGACCTGCATGCACGCCGCGAGTGCGATGGGGCCTAGTGGGCAGTGAGGTGCGAACGCCACATCGTACGTTTCTGTGTACGACGCAAGTCTATGGAGTTCGCTGATCCCTCCGCAATGCGCGACCTATCAAAACGCTTTCAATATCTGCACCTTGCGTCATATGATTGTCACCGACGTCGGGCTGCGCGATATCCATTGCGCGGCGTTCAAGGTACGGTCGGAAATCGAAACGCGAATGCAGCCGCTCCCCTAGCGCGATCGGGGTCGAAACCAGCCTAGCCAGGTCAGCAATCTCTTCGGTTTGCGTAGGAAGAAGGGGCTCTAGAATCACACCACTCCGTCAACAACCCATCTCAGAACGTCTTGCGACGACCGACTAACCTTCGATGAACAGCGGCTGCACCCCCTCGAGCACCTTCGCCAGCTGCTTCGCCATCCCCTTATGCACTCTCCCGTGGAAGTCAACTCCAACGTCCAGTCCCACGGCCTTGACCCCTCTCACGCGCTCGACGACCTTCTGCAGGATCGCGGGAGAGTCGATCCAGTCCGCGCCTTCGGTGCCGTTCATCTTGACGGCGGTGAAGCCCTGCGCGCGGCGCTCCTCTGCCCCCGAGACGACATCCATGGGCTTGTCGCCCCCGATCCAGCCGTAGACCTTGACGCGGTCGCGCACGCGCCCCCCAAGGAGCTGGTAGACGGGCACGCCGTGGCGCTTGCCCTTGATGTCCCAGAGCGCGATATCCAGTCCCGAGAGGGCCGACTGCGTTCGGCGTATCAGTGCAGGATCCGACGGATCGTCAGAGATGCGACTAACCATTAGAACAGGCCCGCCTCTGTAGAAGCGGGAGCGGTACGCGTGTTGCCAGATATTCTGGATCTGGTCTGAGTCCCACCCGATGAAGCGTTCCGCGAGGTCTTTGTACGCGCCTTCGATCGCCTCGGTGTGGCCCTCGAGGGTGCCTTCGCCCCAGCCGACGATGCCTTGTTCAGTCTCGACGCGCACGAAGAGCCATCGTGGCGGGACGCGGAATGTCTAATGTTTCATACGACGTTGCCGCGTGTTAAGATCAGTGATGTCATAGGAGTAACGAGAGCAATAACCTACTTCGATCTTCGCGATCTTGTCGGGAGGGGACATCTTGCGCTTGAAAGTCGATTCTGCCTCGCCGCGCAGCTGGGCACGCTGTGGTTGGGTGTGGTCAGGACGTATATCGATGCCGGTACTTATCGCTCTGCGGCGTGTAAGGCAACGGTCCTGAACGAATTAAGGGGTCAGCTGTATGGCGCCGGGCCGGGATCCGAGATAGGTCTGCAGGAGTTTGACACGAAGATGCTAGAAGTTGACGTCGTAGTCCGTCTGAAAGGAGTGCATTGTACGAGCGCATAGAATGTACAATACTAGCGGATCACGCATGAGGTAAATATTCCAAGAGGAGTGCAGAGTACTGTTGGTCACAACCGTCCATCCCGATGTCGATACGGATGAAGAGAGCACATACCCACGTAGACGCCTTCATATCCTACAGCGAGGCCCGAGAAGCACTACGTGAAGACACCTCGTCTCCGCTCAAGTCATCCGGTCCGGAGAGCATCATCCGGGGATGCATCCCTGCGAGCTGGTGAGCGCGCGGGTTCGCCCAGTACATCTTGAACGTGCGCGCGGCGGGGCTGTCTGGCCCGGCGGTATTGCATGAAGCCTCCCAGGCCTTCTTCACCCACGCCTTCGCGCTCGTGAAGTCGGAGACCTGCATTGCGGCTGAGATGAAGCGTCCGAATCGGAGCATGCGAGACAGACACGTACCATGACACAGAACTGGAAGGCATCGAAGCAGAAGGACGTCTCGTAATGCACGAGCTGTTCCTCGTTCAAGAGCCGAATGGCAAGCTTCACCTGAGAAACCCTGCTCGTCAGCTGCACAGAGCCAAGGCAACCCGTCGACGCATGCGTCTGCGCACCTTCCTCAATCCCAACGTCGGCTCCTTCCCGCACGTTCCGATCTCCTCAAACAGCCTCCTCACCGTCAGCCTTCTCCTATCACTCTCCTCCCCCTCACGCCCATCGAGCATACACGCCTCGCACGCGCACACAAACCCAAACGCGCCCTCGATCTCCGCACCGCGCTCCTCCCGCGTGCCTAGAATGTCGACGTCGACGTAGCTCATGCACAGCTCCTCGCCCGGCGCGACGTCCCGCAGCGCGCGGAACGCCATCTCCTGCGCGCCGACGTCCCACGTCCGCGCCACGTTCGGCCTGCACGAGTGGTTCAGCCGCGCCGCTTGCAGGAAGATGCCCTCTCTACTGCCGCCGCCTGTGCTCGGTCGCCCTCCCTTCCCCCCTTTGGCTGTCTTCTCCCCCGCGCTCGGCTCGGATGGGGCGAGGGTGCCCCCGCAGGGGAGGGCGTTCGTCTCGAAGATGCCGAGCGCGGGGAGGAGGACGGGGTGGCCGGGGAGGGGCGCCTTGTACGCGTTCGCGAGCGCGAAGAACGCGCATTGCTCCTCGCGCGAGTGCTGCGCGAGCGTGTTCAGGATCGTAGAGTTGGTCCTGTGGGGTGGAAGCGGCTGCGTGAAGAGTGGGGACTCGGCGAAGATGACCGTGCCACGAGGGATAGGGCGCGTAGCGAAGAGCCCGGCGCCCCCCGTTGGGGAAGGCCCGAGTTGGTAGCATGGGGAAAGGTCTTCGACGACGGAGACGGAGGATGGCTCGCGTTCGTGGGGGTGGACTGGGCTGGGGCTGGAGGACGTGGTGGGGAGGGGAGAATCGGTGCTCTCGCCGTCTTCCTCCGTCTCTTCGTCCATCATTGGCTCCAGGGTGGGGGTGTGTACTAGGTACAAGGACGAACGCGAGTTGCGGTATGCATTTCCTGTGGGACGTGTCAGGGGGCGCACTGGGTAGGACTGCACGCGGGTGGTCATGTCGACAAGACAGACACCTCAGGTGGAACCAGCAAGGGGGAGGAGGGAGAGGACGGTGGCCGACGTGTACGATGCGAAGAGTGCGTACGCCAAGGCAGGGCTGCGTGGAAGCAGATTGGAGAGAGGCACGGAACACGCGCAGGCAGACAGACGTCAGGGAAGTCCGGCGGCCCTGCCGTAAAGGCTTCGAAAAGAGTTAGAGGTAGATGGGTATGTCAGCGAGACCGACAGATGAGGCCACCTACTATCATCTTGCAGCCATGAGGCGAGGCGAGGCATGAAGGAAGCCATAAGAGTGGGTCATATAGGCACCTTTGGAGGAACGTGGCTGAGGAGAGTGGAGGCTATCGTACCGCAGTTCCCAGAGAACTTCGGACGTCCCGAGTCTGCACGGGTCCAGGGCGGTCGCGAGAAACGTTGAGAAGCCGTTGGTGTCCCGGATCTCATGCCTGGAAGTCGGAGTACCCAGGCCGGAGGTGCTACCAAGAGAAGTCAAGGGAGGCGAGCCGCTTCGCGGGCAGTCGGGCAGGGGTATCATTCATGACAGCCCTGCAGAGAACACGAGATGGAGGAGCTCCGAGGAATGAGTACTGCAGCTGACGTTGGTCATTGCAGCTTCGGGCGGCGAGTACAGGAGGTATCGCTGGATCCCTCCTACCACACCAACTTGCGGCAAAAACGCAGGTGCCTGGAGTATCATGGAGTCAGACGTCCACGTATGTGATGTTTTGTACTGAGTGAATGCCAGCCGTGACGAGTCCTTGCAGACGTTCGAGGCCAGATTGAACAATACTCCTGATAGAAACAGATCTGCGTAGTCACATAACACTTGCCGCTTATGTCCTAATGGGAATGCTTGTGCATTTGTCTTCAAGGTCCTGCAAACAGACCTATGAAAAGACGCAGACGGAGACTGGGTGAGCTTCATGGGCACTGGCAAAGAGGTCGTGAGTAGTCGCAGCCGCGCAATTCGCCTCCCTGCAGCGCCTGTTGTCTGTCGTCTGTCGCCCGTCGCGTCTTCGCTCTGACCTTGCTGTCGTCGTCCTCCGAATCCTTCCTCTCATCTTACACCGTACGCCTCAACATGGCAGACGCAGGTACCTATTCTCTCTCCGCGAATGCTCTAATTCTGCTGACATGTGTTCAGGGTTCTTCAAGGGCACTTCTGCCGACCAGGATCGTCGGTTTTCCGACAAGGAGCTCAAGTTGCTTAAGACAATGAAGTTCCCTCCTGAGTTTGATAAGAAGGTCCTTACATACGATCTTGCCATCCAGTTATCCTGTATGTTAAACTGCTGCTGCACAGGTGGACATGCGCAAGGTCAACTTGGCCGTCATACGCCCATGGATCGTCAAGAAGGTCGTCGAACTCGTCGGGTTTGAGGACGAGGTTGTCGTCGAATATGCGATGGGTCTACTGGAGGACGACTCACAACCGGTACGTGTATTAGACAGCATATACGCACTCCGAGCTCGACGCTCATATTGTGGCGGCGAATCAAGACACCCGACCCGCGTAGGATGCAAATCAACCTGACCGGTTTCCTCACAAAAAACACCCCTGCGTTCATGAGTGCCCTTTGGAATCTCCTGCTCGAAGCGCAGGAATCCCCCGCTGGTGTCCCTCGGACGTTTGTCGAAGAGAAGAAGGAAGAGATGCGCCAAGCACGGGCAGGCGATACACGTGCTATCGAGGAACGCGACCGTCGTGCGCGCCTGGACGAGATACGCACGTCGGAACGTGAGGGTCGAGATGGGCGTGGCGGGGGGCGCGGTCGTGGTCGTGGTCGAGGGCGAGGTCGTGGAGGGTTTGGGGGCGATGACCGCGACGACAGACCACGAGACAGTGGATGGGGTGCAAGAGGTGGCGGGAGAGGCGGGGTGCGTGCTTCGACTCTTTCTCGATAACTCAGTACTAACAGGTCGTGCAGCGAGGCGGCGGTCCTCCACGCTCACCACCTCCCCGCTCCCCACCCCCACGAAGACGTCGCTCCAGATCCCGCTCCGTCACTCCGCGCAGCTCGCGCTCCCGTTCCCGTTCCCGTACTCCCCCTCGCCGCTTCCGATCCCCACCTCCGCGCGGTGCCGGCGGCAGGTCAAAATCCCGCTCTCCCCCACCCCGCTCCCCAGCCCGCCGCAGACGCTCGCCTCCCCTTCGTCGTTCTCCATCGCGTTCTCGCTCCCCGCCTCCCCCGCCTCGCCGGCGCCCACGCTCACCCTCGATCACTCCCCCGCCTCCTTCCGCGCGCAACGACCGTGATCGCCGCCCGCGTGACTCGCGCAGCCCCCCACCGCGCCGGCGGCGCTTCTCCTCCCGCTCGCCTTCTCGCAGCCGCTCACCCCCGCCGTACCGGGGTGGGGGCGGAGGTAGGGGTTTCGGCAGGCGACGTAGCCCCAGCCGGAGCCGTTCTCCGCCTCCAAGAGTGAGGAGGAGGAGCCCGAGCTTGGGTAGGAGTCGTAGCCCTCCCCCTCCTCCGCGCAGGCGCAGTCCGCTGCCGCCAAGACGCAAAGGCGGGCGGACGCCGTCGCGCGAGAGCATCAGGGACGCTGCGCGCGATGTGAAGATGGACGTGGATAAAGACAGGGAGAGGAACGAAAGAGACAAGGACAAGGACAAGGAGGGAGAGCTGAAGATCCGCGGGCAGGCGGAGGCCGCGCGGCAGAAGGAGCGCGAGGAAAAGATGAGTGTCGATAGGGAGGGCGACGAGGTGCGTTTGTAGCCAGCCGTCTGAGCGGGCTCGCGGGTTCGCTGACGAGCGGGGTGCAGGGGGAGAGGGCGGAGCTGGAGAAGCGGGAGAGCGAGCTGAAGGAGAGGGCGCTGCGCAACAAGGTCGTGCGCACGCGCAAAAGCAGCGCTGCGAACGGCGCAGGGCGGTCGAGCGGCGCTGGGAGTTGAATGTTGAGCTAGGGGCGTCGTCGTCTCTGCCCTACGAACTCGTAACGTCTTGATCCATTCCTTCCATGTTCTGCCCTCTCTGTCTAGTCGATCTTAGGCTTACGATCGCCCTGCGCTGTAATAGAGCTAAAATGGTCCTATACCCTACCCGATCTCATGTCTTCGAGTCCCGCTCGTCCCATCGGTCTACCGAGGATCGTCATACGTAAACGTAAACCCATTGTCGTGCATGTACATGCTATGTCTGTCCCGTATTGATTATGCTTCTTCCGTATCTGCACGCAGGCCCACATCCAACTGCGCGACCCTCACAAGATGCGTAACGACTTGACACTGCCAGTCTGATTCGTGTTCGCGCCAGGTCGCAAATAGGCTCCGGGACAACTGTTAAATTGGTTTCAAACGCATCTGCAGGATCTCTATCAGCACGGCGGAGGATCTCGATGACACGATTCACTTCTTTCGCCGGTCCCAAGCTCCTGTGATTCGTCGCGGTGAACGCATTGTTTAGATGGTGATGCCGCAACAGTCTCTTCGACATGGCCGGCAGACAGGGCCTGGGAGCTTTGTGGTGCCTGGTTCGAAGCTGACGTTCGAAAGCTTGAAGACTGGGACCAATGTGGGTATCCGCAAACACTTCTCCGAGACCACGATCACCTTTCTTCATTGACGTCACGGCCCCGTCGCTTCTGACCGCGCCATAACGAGACACATGTCGGTAGTATTCGCCGCGCAGCCACGCTCGACCGCCCGACGTCCCGCGAGAAGCTTCTCGTCTGGAAACCGTCACGGATACAATATCGTTGCATGGAGTGAAGAACCAGAGGCGTTGGATATAGAGATAGCGGAGGCTGGAGCGCCAGTTCTGCACGTCAGACGTGTACAGGAACGAGTCAGGAAACATGGTCGTCCACGAGACAGCACACTACATATTGCCACCGAAGTAGTGATAGTATCTATTGTCGTCGATTATGTATTGGGCTTACCATACAGGCGGCGCAGAGAGGATTAGGATTGGCGACTGACAAGATTGCGTGTAGATACGAGTAGGAGTAACTAGAGGAAAGCCGATCATTAGTGGAGGGAACGACAACTGTATGTGTCTTATTATGGGGGATCTAGGTTTCTGTCAGGAGCCAGCATAACGGGACTGAAAAGCAATCCTTAGACAACCATACCACACCGCTCAGCCGCTATCGAGGCACTCAAAGCGTGTACGGATAACCGTAGATATCTTCGAGGGCATGAGCGAGCGAACTACTCGCGGTGGCAGACGTAGATGCTGTGCGCTCTGCCACCTGCACTGGAAAGATTTCTTGCCCTGACGAAGAGGTCAGGAGATTCGCCTGTCCCACGTCGTGTGTTTCTGAGGCGCCAATGAGTTAGATTCAGATTGCCTGCAGTCAAGAGTCGTGGCAAACCTTGCGGAGCGGCGCTAGCTGCTAGTGTCAAGTTGGCCGGTGACTCAGATCCACCGTGGGTCGTGGCTGCCTCCCTTTTCCGTTTCCGCGGCCGGTTTGAACATTCTTCTGCTTCCCCGCGCTGCACGCAACGTCCGCAAGGACGACCTCTATCGCATGGCTTCCGTGCTCTGTGACAACTTGAACACTGGAGGAGAAATGTCAGCTGGAAGAGGGGTAGCAGATTCGGCGAACTGTACCTACCGCAGGATTGATGTTACGCGTGTACGAGGCTGCCCCTACGGAGCCACCTCCTGCGGGGGTCGAATTCAGTGATGCATGCATTGGGGGATTGTGCGCTTCCGGATGCCATGCAGATGAGGCAGGCCTAGAAGCGGGGTTTCGATCTCCTATGAGGTCTACGTCCCGACACAGAGAACCCTTCATCAGTATACGAGATAGGCATTGTGCTCAATGGAGACACACGTACCGAGATAGTGCGATATGTGCATAATGACGTACGGCCCAGAACAGTGCATTGGCACAACAGTGATTGGAAGGGCTTGATCTGCAGAAGGCTGAGCTATGGTAGGCAAGGGAGCCTGTCTGATAGGTGAAGGATGGTCTTGTCGAGAAGGATCTGCAGCCCACGACCCTGGCAGGCGATCTGGAGCAGCGTTTCCTAAATCCATGGCGGCGAGCTTGGTGAGAAGCAAGATCGATTCATGGGCTATCGCAAAGTCAAGAGGAGTATCGGGAACGTCCTCGACGTCTTGGCTCTGAAGCTGAGGTTATACGTTCTTCGATCTGAGCGGCAGAGTGACTTACGCTGTGACGGGTACTGTAACCGTCTATACGCGGAACTACGTACTGACAGGGGACCATATGAGGTTCGCACCACGGCACTTAGTTCCTTACACGCTTCAGCCTCACCGGATAAAGAAGCCTCGGATAGCGTATGAGTCAAATTAACGACCATACAATGCTGCGATGACTTACCATCTTCAGTCTTCAAGCTTCAACCGCACAACGTGGGTCCGGCTGAATTTGACAGAGCGTGGTTGGTGCACCTTCACACCCGGAGATACCTAGGTGTGAAGTATCGTGAGGGAGGTTACGGAACCGGATACTCGCTGCAATCGCGGCCACAGACAAACCATCTCGCTGCGAGAGGGATATCGCTTCGCACAGTATGTGCCCTCAGCAGCAGGTGAATGCTTGCTCTCCTCTCCGGACGCGCAGCCTGCACTACACCGGCACCACACCACTGCGGCTTCCTAGACGTCGGGGACATTCTGTAGAGGAGACCCGCAGCCCCGAGAGCCACGGGTAACTGCGGAGGCTCACTGCTTATTCAATCACTCAGGAGCAAGCGTGTGCCACTGAGAGCCAGTAAGGTATGAGCGCGCGTACCGAGCATTCGACCAATGCCACAAGGTTCGACAGCATGGAGCTCTGGAGACCCATATGGAGATACTACCGCCGCCTCGGACTAGCGGAGCACGGGTGGGAACGGCCAGGCAGCATTAAGATTCACGAGTTCACCCGGCTGAATGGCTACGCTTCAAAAAACTGATAAAATCACCATGTGGAGAAGAAACACGGTTGGGCCTTCGAGAGAAGGTGAAATACACTATACAATGGAGAGGACGCGACACAGCCGCACCTTACTGCGAACTCCACTCTCAGCTATCGATATCTGCGAGACATTGCGAACGCGATCGGGGGTCAGGTCCGTAGTGCCATTGAACTTGTGCAATGAATGAATGATTCTGCCTCATCGGCACCTTGGCTAATGACAACGATGCCGTGCGGGCGGAGTGCACCAGAGCCCAGACTGTCATGATCATCGCAACGTCTCCATCCCCAAAAGCCTGCTACTACGATCCGCAATTCGATACTTCGAATGCATACGGAGGACCGAGTTGTGGTCATCTTGCAGTAGTATCGGTTCCTGCTCTGCTAACGGATAGGGCACGTGCTGACAGCGCGGTCGTGTGATGCAGACAAGCAAGAATAACGCTGCCATAGACGCATTCAGTCGACGATCTAGTCACTAGCCGCGAATGAACGCACCGACTAACTGGCATTGACTCTGAGAGATCGACAACTCGAAGCAAATTAGCAGCTCGCAGCACCGGGAGAGCCTCAGAAATCACCATCGCGATAGTTTGCGGGTTCTTTCGTTACCGCACTGCAATCTTGACCACCACCTGTTGCAATCTTGGATACTGGTCCCGAGACACCATCGGCGCAGAAAAGCCAAGTCCCACAGCCCGACGACATCTTCTCAGGCGGACATATTCCCACCCTTCGAATGAATCTGGACAATTATCTTCGAAGAGTCGACGGTGCGGGGAGCGTTGTAGAGAATCTATAGGAGAAGACGGCGTAGCGTGTCTCGAAGTTGATGCTGCGCCGGTTCCTCCCAACGCGACTCGGAGAGTGATGGACCCCACAAGGTTTGAGGCTTCGCACTGACAGAGTCCCTCTTGGAGAGCCGACCATTCTGACTCCGGCATAGGCACCGCCGGCATTGGCAGAGATGAGCGCGAAGGCAGAAATAGGTCAGTAGTAATCCCAAGCCAGGTTGGAGAATGCGGTGTATGATTGATCGACGTACTGGCCCACTGACATGAAGAGACAGAGCTCGAAGATGCTAAGCTCCAGGTTCCTGAGACCTTCGTCTTCGTCCCGGATGAACGCGCACACGCCGTGCATTGTCTTTCAACGACCGGGTGTGGCAGAGTCCAAGTGTGGACACTGAGAAGTAAGGGTGGCATGGTATAACGCGGATTCTTCCTCCCGGTATATGATTCCACTGATTACATGTTGAGCAGAGGTGGAGAGAGGCGAAAGAAGAGCGCTCCCAGAGGCATGGGTGGCCACTGTCTCGAGCGCGTCTGGTTAGCAAGGGATAGGATTGTCGCGTATGGGTATTGCACGTTGTTGATCTGAGGCATCAAGAAAGAACCCCGTAGTGTTCGCGGGCGAACCAGCCAAGGCCTGTGGATCGAGGGACTGCAAAGGGCACTGCCCCCAGATGTGACTCCTGCCACGCTAAAATACGAGGTAGAAAGACCACGAGCGCGGTCAGGTCGGTCGGAAGACCTATCGATGTATTTTCCGACCAAGAGTCGACAGACAGCTTGCTGATCCATAGTATGATCTGAGTGTGCCGACTCACATATTCGACCAAGTCATCTACGCCGCCGCTAACGTTCTGCTAGAGAAGAGAATGGGATACGCGACATGAGACCGGCGAGAGCATGCTGAGAAAGTGAGCTTGTCATCTTCTGGATCTAATGTGCCAAGGATCCGTCTGGATACATCCATCGAGATATCTCCCAGGCGCGGACCAGTTGAGGCTGAGGCGGAGTTTATCTTTGAGAGCCGAACAATTTCTATCAGGATAACCCGGAACTGAACACTACGCTAATGCTCACCAACATGGTTTACTACTTGGTAGCAACAGGACAGTCACAGTAAACCATTACATAGAGGCTTACAAGCAGTGCCACGTCATGGTAAGCAGAGATGGGCGATGGACTGATGACACTGACACCAGGGGTCGAGCGCGAGAGAGTCTATGGTTTCCAGGCATTGTAGAATCCACTAAAGCCAGAACTCTGGAAGCTAGAGATAAAGCCTGAGCCATTAGGAGTCACCGCTGCCGACTTTCGGGGTCAAGCACATCTCTAGATGGGGAGCGGACACGAGGGCGGAATTTCGATATGGAGCTGAAGTTTGCAACCCCGCTCAGTTATGGCGTGATCCGCCATCATCTCCGCTTCGCTGCTTCAGTTCCCCACAAACACCTGCTGAAAGCATCGTGCAACCATGATTATGTCTTCATCCTGTCGTACAAGAATGGTTGGGTGGCTCTCATTTCTTCAGTAAGATGAAGCATTGTGGATAAACTGCGCGAGTGTAAGTCTATACGGATAAATGGCCGTGTAAACTGCTCTTCGATGCTGACTGAATGCTCTACGTAGCTACATGCCTGCGCTGCATGTTGAAGCAACGGCGACCTATATTTAGGACACTGCGTCCGTCTTGCAATGAATACTCATACTCAGCTGCAATTCAGTACTGCCAACGAGTGATTCTGAACAGCCGAGCCATCACCCGTGATTGGCAGCCGTCGGTACGTTTTCGGTTGAATCACGGATACCCAATCTGAATTATGATAGGTAGCCTAGCAGCATGCTCTCTTCAAGACCCAAGTCGACACCTTCATGTGACCCCCCAGGCTCCATGACTCTTTTCTCCTGAGTTCTCCCTGTGCTGTGTACGTGTTCGTTATAAGGCCCAACCCTCTGATCGGGGCACACGGGACGACGGTGCCTCGGCACGGAACTGAACACCTGCGTCATTCGTGGCTCTTGAGGTGTTGAAACCATAGACGTGTGCTATTTTGAGCTTACATCCCTTTGAGGCTTTTGCGAGCTACGTCCGAGCTTTCAGAGCGAAAGTTGAGGTGTGGCGCGGCCACAGCGGAAACAATGCCGGTATGTTTTTGCACATGGCCAGATATATAACGGAATGTGGTGATGCAAGCCTTGCTCCCTAGACTCACCCTCGACCGAGTGCTGCTTCAGCCCAAGATCCAAGATGTTCAAAAAGCTCCTCATCGCTGCTACTCTCGCCGCCACCGTTGCGGCCCACGCTACCTTCCAGGAGCTATGGATCAACGGCGTTGACCAGGGTTCCTCCTGTGTCCGGCTCCCACAGAGCAACTCGCCGGTTACCAGTGTCACCACCACTGTACGTTCCCCATTCACCCTACCCCTTTTTTCATGATTTCGGTGTCACAATACTCACGGTTGCCGACGGTTAGGATATTGCCTGCAATGCCAGTCCTCACAGCAGCGATGGTGTCTGCTCGGTCCTGCGTCAGTCCTGGCTTCCCAATCTTATGTGTGCGTTTCAAACTCATCGACGTGGTTCTTCGTAGCCGGTGATCAGGTCACTGTCGAAATGCACCAGCAACCAAACGATCGCTCATGCGCGAACGAGGCTATCGGTGGAGATCACTATGGCCCCATCAACGTGAGTAGTCTTCGGGCTGCAGAAAAGGCCTGTCAATCTGATACGTACACTCCGCTCTATAGATCTACATGGCCAAGGTCGATGACGCGACGACTGCGGTTGGCTCTGACGCGGCGTGGTTCAAGGTGTCCGAGATGGGTCTCCCTTCAAGCAACCCTGACTACTGGGCCACTGGTGCGCTGAATTCTCGCGGCTCATGTAGAGTAATATAACTGAGTGTACCACTATGACAGAGGTATTGAACGTACGTACCGATTGTATGGTGAATGAAACAAGTGGTACTGACCTCGGGACGCCCGTGCGCACAGGACAACTGTGGTCACTTCACCTTCACGGTTCCTTCCGACATCGCGCCTGGTAACTACCTCATCCGTGCCGAGGTCATCGGTCAGTCGCAATTATCCATTAGCTTCCATCAGTGAGGCTCACGTGCAATTCGTCAGCTCTCCACGTCGCCAGCAGCGTTGGTGGTGCTCAGTACGTATTGCCATCCAAGATAGCACGTTGAATGTGGTTGATGGACTCTCACATTCAGGTTTTACATGTCCTGCTACCAAGTCAGCGTAAGTACATCCGTTCTTCGCCCTTACGCCTATTCTAAGTCATTCCACAGGTCGGCGGTTCCGGCTCTGCCAGTCCCCCAACCGTCAGTTTCCCCGGCGCGTACAGCGCAGAGGACCCCGTAAGCACCCTTTAATCTTGTAATATGAGCCCAATGTTGATCTCGTTGTGCTCGAAGGGCATCCTCATCAACATCTACACCCAACTTAACAGCTACGATAGTACGTAGACTTCACTTATCGGCCGTATCATCCTGACCTGACGTCCGCCGCGCATAGTCCCCGGACCGGCTCCCTACGGGACGACCTCGCCGACCGTCGCGGCTACTCCCTGGCCCACGACCGCTACGTGGAACACGGCTCTCCAGCCGTCCACCGTGCCTACTCAGGTTCCTGGGGGCGGTGCTGCCCCAACCTCTCCGGCGTCGCCGTCTAAGCCGTCCACCACGCCCGTCACCACTCCCGCCACCACGCCTGTCACGACGTCGAGGCCGTCCACTACGCCTGTGTCCGCACCCTCGCCTTCTCCGACCGGACAGACCGCTTCGCTCTACGGACAGTGTGGCGGTATCGGCTGGACAGGCCCAACGGTCTGCGCATGTGCGTTCTCATCTCCCTGCTGCCCCAATTAGACCGATTGCTGATGTCCTCTATTGTAGCTGGAACCTGCGTGGCGACAAATAGCTGTGAGTATCTTCCTTATTTGATATACCCACCTCGAGGCTAATATTGTGCGCAGACTACTCTCAGTGCGTCCCGTCTTGAAGTGACCAAGATGTCAGAGTAGGGAGGGCAAGGAAAAGCGTCCGTGCTGAGTCGATATACACTACGTTGTACGCATTGCTGCAGGTGCACCATGCTTTCTCAGGTCATGAATGGAATGCGGGCAAGACATTAGCCCAAATCCCGCGTGTCTGCAGCTGTTAAGACTCGAGGTGCCGGGAAGCTCGCATGTTCCCCGGACGGTGCAACAACTATTAAGCTTCTATGGCGTCAACTAAGGGCGAGAGGTCGTGATATCCTCGGATGGTCGGCTGGTAGTCGGAGCTGAGGCCGTCGGATCGCTGCATCGGAACGAATGTTGTAACAATGCCATAAAGTCAAACAGTACATTGCTCTGGTGTGGTTATTACATATGCCCAGGATCTCGACGTGCGACACGCTTTCATCGGCATGCCTTCGCTCGCAGGACTCAGGTCTCCGGACCGCTCAGCTTCGCTCGGGGAAGAAGGCCGAACGACCGATGTTGACGTACATCCTTCATGTACGTGGCCATTCTCTTCGCATCCTCGCTGTCTGGGCCTCGGATTACGGAAAACGCCTCCCACGCTTTCGTGACCCATGCTTTCGCATTCTTGACGTCCGAAACGCCTGGATCAGTAGAGCATGAGCCAGAGCGAGGAATCACCGGACAACGATACTCACTAACGCAGAACTGGAATGCATCGTAATAGAATGAGGCGTGACACTCGAGCAAATTCTCTTCTGCTAAGAGACGAAGTGCCAACTTGACCTTTGGTCGCAGTTCCGTCAATTGCTGGTCTATCTCGAGCAATAACAACCACTCACCTTCCGAACGCCAACAGACGGAGTATTTCCGCAAGCTCCGATCTCGTCATACAGCTTGGCGATAGCATTACGACGCTCGTCGCTCTCCTTGAGGGAAGCTCCCTCCCTTGAGCATGCGACGCACTGGCACACGAAACGGAATGACGACTCCAACCTGCGTCGCCTATCATCGCGCGCCTTCCACAGGTCGCCGTAGCAAATGCACAGCTCTTCGCCCTCCGCGATGTCGCTGGTGGCCCAGAACGCGATCTTCTGGAGATCCTCGTTCCAGTAATTGTTCACGTTGGGCTGGCAAGACGAGTTGAAGCGTGAACCGATGACGAAGATCGCCGCACTGGCTGCGGCATGCCCTCTGCTTGCGTCGTTGTCCCCGCATGGAAGCGCATTTGTCTTGAAGATTCCGAGGGGAGGAGAGTAGTCGCCTTTGAGAGCATTTGCGAGGGAGAAGTACCGCCTCTGGTCGTTGTCAGAGAGGGAGGATAGCGCGGCTAGGACCGTTGCGATTGAATGAGGCTGAGACTGAGAGAGGAGAGGCTCTTCCGCTAGGATCAGCTCGCCTCGAGCAATCGGGCGTGTTGCGACGAGACCCTTCCCCTTCCCTGGAATGTCCTGCATGGTGAACGATGCTGAGAAGTCATAGTCACGTACATCAATAGCGTTCACAGAAGGATTGGAAGCAGCTCGCGCACCGTCACTCATGATGGGTTTGGACTAGTCGTAACTACGACTCTCTCAGCACTCTCAATTTCAGGCCTTAGTAGAGACGTAGAGAGCTACCGCAGCAGCCAACCCGCACAGCGGAAGGTTTTGGCGTCTCAGGTTGCAAGCAGGAAACGAGCTGGTGCTTCGTATGATAAGATGACCGCCAGCAAGATAGCGGACTACTGCATTGTATGCGCGATGTGACGTATATACGCTCTCAGTGGTTCGTGAATATTAAATCCCTGGATACAGTCATTGAGGGAGCAGTGCGATTTGACGTCAGCGTTTAGACTCTGGAGTGCGCCTGGTACAGAATATTAAGCGACATCAATAGGCTGAAATGCTTGCTCTCCCAGTACACTCACATCGAACAGAATTGTGTTTCAGATACACGGCGAAAGACAGGAACCTATCATGATATTGTAGCACGAGTAGACTTCTGCATTGCCGTCATAGAGAGGCGGAGTGATGATGGCTGCAGAGAAAGACGAGATGCAACGAATCAACGCGTTCCGCGATCGCCAGCAAGCTATAGACGCCCACCTTCCAGCTCTATCCCTCACGCTCACCTCCTGCCTCCAGCTAGCCGTCGAAGGCGGCGACGACGACCACCCACGACTATTCCTCACGACAGTGCAGGCCGCTACACAGACCTCATATAATACTGCTCGCATCTCTGTCCTCTCGATGGTCTCCCCCGCACACACCGGCCTGCGCGCCCTACCCTTCCTCTTCGTCGCTCTGCTCGTCTGCCTCTCCCAGCCAGCGTCCGCCATCAAGTTCAACCTTCCTGCAAGTAGATACCCGCCGGCGAAGTGTATCTGGAATGCGGCGCACCCAGGTGCCCTCGTGATCATCACCGCGAATGTCGGCCCCGGGGAGGGCCAGCGGCTCGATATCGAGGTCGTCGACTCGAGCGAGCACAAGAACGTGTATCTGAGTAAGAAGAACATCAGCGGGGAGAAGCGGTTTGCCATCACTGCCCATGCGGAAGAGGATATTGGGGTCTGCTTCCGGAATTACCTCGAAGCAGGTGAGTAGGACGCTTCGGAACGAGCGGGCGACTGGACGACTGAATATTGCCTGCACATAGGTGTCAGTGATAGTAAGGGGCGTTCGCGAGTAGTTGACCTCGACGTCGACATTGGTGCGGATGCAGTTGACTACAAGTACGTGTCTGCTATGTCGGTCTACCAATCCTCCGCTGAACGTCTGCTACGTTCGTAGCGCAATCGCGAACCAGGAATCCCTCTCCGGGCTGGAGACAGAGATGAGAAAACTCGAGGGCGTAGTCAAGGAGATCCTGGACGAGATGGAGTACCTCCGGGGACGCGAAGAGCGTTTTCAGGCAACCAATAGTGCGTAATCTCGCTCCCTTGCTCTCCTTTCCTTCGATTCCTTCGCCATCTCGCCATCCCGATCTACATTGCAGTGCATTTCCGTTCTCTGCTTGCCGACATCGCATTGCGCCACCTCCACCCTGCCCTACCCTTGTCGATCCTGTGTCTGTATGGTGAACTTCGCTAACGATGCTTTTGCGTAGTCTCAACAAACAAGCGCGTACAGAACTTCGCGTGGTTCATATTCGTGTCTCTCTTTGGCCTCGGCGTTTGGCAGATATTCCACCTTCGCGCTTTCTTCAAGCGCAAGTACCTTATCGACTGAGCTACTACTATGTAGGCTGCGAGGGTAATACATGCTATTCTTATTGCGGAATGTCGTCACTTCTGCCTCTTGTCTGGCTGGTACGCCCATTCTGCCGGTCGGTCATGTGAGGTGATTGTAAGTGAGCATTGCCTACTATGCGGAGTCTGGAAATCACTCTCTAAAGATTCACGTATGCTTTTCAGGTCCTGATGACAGCCTGTGACCAACGACGTGCAAGAGTACTCGAGTATAGATCCGCAAGTCAACTCATCTATTGTCCCAAACTACTCCAAGAGCGGACATGCACCGGCACATTGTGCGGAAGGTGTGTTTGTATTGCTTATCAACTTTGATTAGGAGGGTTCTCTTAGGCGTTTTCCCTCGGCGCACATGTGCAAAACATCGCCCAGTAGAACCACGGTTAAAATGAACGTACTCCTGATGTGGCGTATGTATACAGATGCTCTCAACCACCTTTGCGAGGTAGTACTGCGGCCCGCCTATTCATTGCTCTCGTATGTCTGTCGCTGCAATCTGTTTAGCCAATGTACACATACGCAGACCTCACGATTGCCAGCATGGTAGAAATAGCTGCCACGCCACCGCCCCGGGGCGATTGGCCATATCGAGGTCAGATCTAGATACGAAGGGTCACATCAGACTAGTTGCAGGCAATAGGTTGTCAGCGCTTCAGCAATGGCACCTGCTGACCTGGCCGCAGCCTCAATGTCCACGTTCCCGATAGAACTATAGTAAGTTAGACACTCCGCTTTAGTGGCGTCTCAGTGTCTTCAAAGCGACTTGTGGGCCACACTCCCCAGGCAACGAGCTAACAGCTTGTACTCACCGTCACTGCCCACGAGACTGTAGAGTCAGGTGAGCCACCTGCGTTTCCCTTCGCTAGTCTTCACTCGAGGCAATCGATGTCTTTATGACGGAACTTTCCGAGCATGCGGTTTCAGGGCGGGAGGTGAGCTTTCAACTCTCCTTCCGCAGCGTTGCGCGCAATGACCTAAGGATCTTCGTGTAGCCAGCATTGGGCAGCCACGGGACAGACCCCCTTGCTACGCAATCCCAATAGTCGGACACCTCGCTCTTGATAGCGCTCCGCTCAAATCCATCTACTGTCTTCAGACTCTTCATGTTCTCGCATCACTCCATATCGATCTTCTGAAGCAGTACTCTACATACGTACTCTAACGACCTCCCCATATCCGACTTAGCGCTTTCCAACGATGTCTGACACACTCGACGTTTGCCTCATCGATCCGAATCTTGCGCCACCTACCCGACCGCCCAGCGCGCTCAGCACGAACAGTGACACCTCCTACTTCGCGTTATACGAGGAGTCCGAGTCCGAGCAGGTCGACCCAGATAACCGCCCTCCTGAGTACCTCCCTCGTCGCATCGTCGTTGAGACCATCCGCCGGCATGGATGGGAGTGCCTGCTCTGCGGGCGGGGAGACGACCTGACGGTCGTGCGTGCGGTGCTGCAGCACGAGAACGAAGGTGCCAGCGAAGACGTAAGTTGTATCCGTAAGCATGTCATGGTGTAGATGGAGACTAACACTGCGACTCTACACGGCCCGTATAGCCGATCTCGTGGCTGAAGTCCTTCGGCCTTCTTCCACCTGGGTATGAACGCGACGACTGGACGAATCTGATGACCCGTATGTGTCTTCAGCAGCAGGGGAGTCATTTGTGCTGATGTCCGCCAGTGTGCGGGTTGCATGCGAGAGCATACGACGAGGGTGTCTGGCGTTGGGTGCCGTGTGCGAAGTACCGACGACAAATGTTTAGCGCCCTTCCCGCTCGCGCGAACGCTTTGGAGAATGGAGATGGAGACGTCACCATGACCGATGATATCGCTGACGAGGTTCCGACCCATCCCCGGGATCCTTGACTTTCAATGCTCATTATCGCATCCCTAGACTTCCAAGGAACTCGACGACTCCTCACTGAGTCCTATCTCTCCGTCCGACGCGGGGGTACCCGCCGAAACTCTCGTCGACGACGGCATTTCGGGCACTACCAGAAAGACGGAGATTCGCTTCCAACCCGTGCGTCGTCCCTCCGTGCACTTACAGTCCGCCATGTCATCCGATTTCGGCTCGCAGATGGAAACCCCTCAATTTGACGTGCTCGTATTGCGACCAGAATCGATGCCAGCTGTCCCGAACGCGCTTTCAAAGTCATCCGCCGCTGTATGGCGCGAGTGGCGAACGCTCATCCTCAACCCTTACGTCGCCTATGCATCTTCCTTGGAGGTGATCGGGGTCGCAGATTCGGCCTCGCAAGATGTCCTATTGCAAGGAGTGTCCAAGGAGTGTTTGGATATACGATCAAGGTGGGAAGCCGTTGCCGCGTAGCAGGACACTACTATAGCTTGTGGGCATCGAGGCCAACTCTAGTGAATGCGTGTTGTGTTTGTTCGTATCGGATATAAGTATAACAACCATTCCGTCGTGTATGAACTGACTGTACCCTGCAAGGACACGTGAATCCATTCTACTGAGCTTCGAGAGGGAACCCATGGGACGTGACACAACTTGTATGTGCCCTGCGACAGCCTTGGTCTTTGAGTAGGGTATTCTCAACGTGTAGGCTCATCAGGTTCAGGTACGCTGAGTTCCATTCATGTGGAGTGCCTTATGATCTTGTGGACCTGTTGGATTGGCTTAGCAGAATGAACATACATGGGCTCCCACACAGCTTGAGGTTGTACAGGATTTGGATCAAACCTACCATATTTAGCCGAGTGCCTTCAAAATATGACATTCGTTTCGATTCACAGCACAGATCGATTCTAAGATCTAAGTACTGAGCATCGAGTACGTATCTGAATCGACAGAGTCCCCAAACCCCAGCTCTAACGCACGCACCACGCTTCGCTCTGGCCTACCCCGAGTTTGTCGGGATGCGGTGAGACCAGAGACGACATCCCCTCCTTCTCTATCGAGAGCGGAGACCCCGAGCTAACGAATGGGTAGATCGGAGAACGAGCTTCGCCAAGAGCGCCTGGGTCGCAGTGTCCGTGGTTTCCGAGTCGTCTGAATAACCCGTTGCGCTTCCCGACTGTCCTCGATGCGGTAGCAAAGGGAAGATATGCCCGCGTCACCTTCCCTCATCCGGTCCGTAGAACAGATGATTTAACGTCATCCAGTTGGGCCTCGGGGTTGCGGAGAATAGCATCGATTGACCAACGGCTGAGAGAGAGTCGCTCAGGGTACAGAAAACCTAGAACATCCCGACATGTGTAAGTAGAGAAACGAGAAGTATGGACCTACACAAGAGCGCAGGGGGAAGTGCCGTCCGAGAATCACCTTGATGCATCAAACACTCCTTCTTGCCACCCTACCCTCGCGGTTCCTAGCACGTACTCCCCAATCATCCCTCCGGAACCCGAGCTCACCTCTACCTCCGCGCGCGATTTCCCGCTGCTCCCGCTCTCTCGCCGGGAGCGCTCCCACACACTGTCTCGTAGGCGTGACGCCTGCGCCCGCTCGGGGCAAGGCATGGATATGAGAACGACTACCTGCAGCGCCTCCACCTCCCTCGCGTCCTCCGATGCCTCATCCGACGTCTGATGTTCCAAGCGCCCGGCAGGGTCATAACCTAGCCCACTCTGTGGCCCGTCTAGCGGGTCGGGCATGAGTGGGCGCGCGATCCAATCAGGTATTCGGCGTCCGCGCCAGTACATTTCCGGTCGCGCTGCGCGTCTTGTCGTGTTGGCGGTTCGTGAAGGCACGATCGGGGCGAGAGGGGTGGGAGTTGGAGACAGTCGTGGGATTGAACGTAGCACACCGCGGGAGGCCACGAATCCGCTGTGTCCTGACGGCCAACGAAACGCCATGGCAGCTTGACTCCCGGGTTGTGGGGATGCTGCGGATGGGGAATTCAACTCCGGATTAGGTGTGTCCTCAGACTCCGCAGCGGGCTCGGTGCGCACGTATGTCGCACCCAGTGGCTGAATAGGTAGGTCAGAAGCAAAGAAACTGCCTTGACAGATCTCGCAGTACTCACGGCAAGTTGCTTCCATGAATGCGAGAACATCCCCTCGACGCCTTTGCCTCCGAGTACGGAGGACGTCTCCTTCGGGAACACGTCCAAAAGCAGAGGCCTCGCGCGAGGTATGCGCGACTGCCGTCGGTCGAGCTCCAAGCCTGTTACTTGTAACCCCAAGTTGCGCCGCAGGGTACGGGTTACGCGACGCGAACCAATACCGCAACCGAGAAAGAAGAGAAAGATGGCGATGAAGGTGACGAGAAAGCTAAACGGTAGGGAAGAGCCCGGTTTGAAACCTGGATTGTCGTTCCCACTGTTTGATGATGTCTCTGATGGCGCAGAATCGGTCGAGGTTGGGGATCCTGAAGGAAATTGAGACGCCATGATCGTCGGTCGGCGAAGAGAGGGAGGGGGTGTCAAGACATGGGTGACGGTGGTTGGGAGGTATCGTACAGGGGATGAGCGTCGAAGTATATGAAGTTGCGGAGGGTGTCATAAATCTGGACGTGGGTTCATGAGAACTTCGGTATTCGGGGACGAAAGGTGGTAATGCTGCCGTCGCCTGTTGTCATCACACGAGCTGCCAGTATAGCAAACATACTCGTGCTGATACTGATTCTGATAGGCTTTGGAGACCTGCTAGTTTAGAGTTCGATCGTTCCTTATTCAGAGACGCAGCCAATGAATTTAAACAAAAGATGGGACAAAGCAGAGGAGGGACTTGACAGTTGGAGAGCCGGGGAGGATGAGAGCCTCGGTCCGCATTCTCCGCTAAGTAAGCAGATGCTAACCCTAACCCTCTAAAAGCCTCGGAACGCCCTGCAGCGAGACCTTGTTCAACGCCGTGACCATGTGCATGAATATCAGTACTTGTCCACTTCTGTGACCCCATCGAATGCCCCTTATACCAACTACACTCTCGATGCGCCATGTACCACTACGTCAGCTGTACTAGTGCACCCAACCTGCTACACGGGCGTGGCCACCAGCACTGAAACGAGTGCAATCAACAAACAACATTACCATGGCTCAACCGGTAAACGCTTCTTGCGCCACTGGTGGGCCCAACAGCCTTTGTACTCTTTGTCGGCAGTGGATACCTTAAGAGGTAGATACTTCAAGAGCTTGCCCCCGTTGAACTTCACAGCGTCGTCGTCTCTGTCCACCATTCTCACCTACCAGGTTATACTACAGTGGCTGCCTTCTCTATCACCCAGCTCAGATATAATTGGGCGCCTTCGATGCAGACGCGGTACGTTTTCGATGTCGTGAAACGTAGCTGTCTACTGATTGTTCCCGAATCAAGACGAGCAAGATTAGGGCGCGCGGCCCTCTCGATAAGCGCCATGCCGGCCGAGATCTTCCACCAAATCTTCTCTTACTTCATCTTCGAAACACACAAAGAAACACTCTCGTCATGCGCACTGGTATCCAAGGTCTGGCTGCAGCTCGCTCGGCCTCACCTCTTCGCCATGATGAAAGTCGAACGCAAGCGTTGCTTCTCTACCTTTCTGCGCTGCATCGATCTTCGTCCAGACCTGGCAGGGCACATCCAAGAGCTCACCTTCGCTTCGGCTCGTTGTCGTTCCAGGGAAGACGCGGACGAATGCTGCTGCGACGATCATGAGAGGCCAAAGGATGACCGGGAAGCCTGGCCTCCGTCACCGCGACTGGACTTGGGTGCTTTCACGGCCATGTTCCCGAAGCTCACGAAGCTGAAGGAGCTCATGCTCGAAGAAATCACGGTCGCAATTCCTAAATCTGCCCCCTCCGCATCGCCGGACGCCAATGCAGACTGTGCCCGGACGCTTGAGGTCCTCGTAATCAAAGACGTAACGACCTGCGAGCATGACAATGGTCCCGTATTACCCGCTATTCTGGACGCCTTATCTCCTTCCTCGATCGAAAGTCTAACATTCGACCGCTTGGGCAACAAGCCCCGCTGCTCAATTCCGGACCATTCGGAGGAAACAGATGTCACGCTCGTAGCCAATCTGCTCGACCTATGGGGAACCCGACCTCCGCTTGACGTACAACATCTCTCGCTCTCCGACCCCAGCTGGGTAGGTACAGCTGCGCACTTCCGATTCTACGAGCAGAAAATGGTCCAGCCGGGCTGCCTGTGTTCACTGGTAACCCGATGCGACTCTTGGAAGATCACAGAGCAGCTGTTCGCCTTCTTGCATACATGCGGGAGCAAGCACTTCGAATGCCTTGAATTGGATATCATCCCGCTAGTGGAAGGTGAAATGTCCTTCGTGAGTACTGCTCGATCACAAGCGCGTCAAGAGTGCGGCTAATGGAGCAATCGCGGGCTAGACAATCAAAGAGACTCCAGTCTACCTCCGTCGCGGTGGCGTGACTTCGCTTCGGCTATTTCCTCCCTCAAGACGCTTAGTGACCTACGCTTGAGCGTACCCTATAATGCATACGGGAGTGTTCCGGACACCTGCAAGACGCTCTTCTCCACACTAATATCTCGCGCCGCCCCACCCACCCTGCGCAACTTATGCATCGACTTTTTACGAGAATGGGACTCTAGTAATGCACCTGAGGACATGCAGTTTTGGGACTTGTCGTCCCTAGATCATGATCTGATGGGAAGGGATAAGTTCCCGGTCTTTGGAGATATGTTGGTGCATATCGAGGCATCTCCGTTCTCTTTACGAGAAGATCTGTACGCAATCCAGGCGCGCTTGGTGGACGAATATCTTCCCCGGCTCTGGGACGCCGACATACTGCGCATAGAATGGAGCTTTAATGATTGTGAGTCTTATTCGCATTGTGCGCTGATATCTGTACTAATGGGTGCACATATAGAAGGACTTGTTATAACCTGGGTGTCCGACGACCATCATGAAACAACGCCTAGTCCGAACGACGGAATGAACATTGACAACAGCCGGGGGAACCAAATGAATATATCGTAGGATGCAACGACTGTGCTTTCCCAATCGTATCAGTATATATGCTGCTGTACTATAGGTCACGCCTTCAACATGTCTATCTTTCATCCACACTTTCGGGGGATGGTCGAAGGTCTCCGGTGACGACCGTCTCCCTCGGGAGTTTCACCGGCAGGCTCTTGTAAGCAAGGATCCGCGGGCATGCAGACTCAAGGATCTCTCTCGCTCTCCCTTCCATTTTTGCTAGGCCTGAGATGTCAGTAGCCTCCGTTTTTCGTTTCGGCAATTGAGCATCCCTTGCATTCCTTGGGCAGGAGGGAGGAAGGTCTACTAGCTGAAGACGCCGCCAATGGACGTCCTCCACCGATTGTTCTCCCTTCCTTGCGTGTAGCCCGCCGACTTGAGCTACTAGGCTCATCGCTTCCCTTTCGGTCTCAATCAGTAAAGTGCGTTCCTTGGTGAGATATTGGCGAGCACACTAACTTTCCGCCTATAACATGAATTTCCTACTGTCTCGTTCACCGATCTGGACGTTTTCTGTAGCAAAGGATTGCAGAAGTTAACCCATCGTCCTCGACGATCTGAAGGGTGGATGACTGAGCAGGAGGCTCTCATCTCCGTGAGGCAAATTATCCCGCAAATGGAGTGGCACCGCGGGCAACTAGTGAATCCTGAGCCATGGAGGCCCGCTGTCTCACTGCCATCTTGTCCTGTACACTGATGAGTTGATCGAAACTGACAGGCGAATATGACGCAGCGACGACAAAGTCCTCACAATTCTTTGATGTCAACGAGGTCCGGGAAGTGAATGAAGTCATGCAATCATTACAGAATGGTATGGTGTAGCTAGTATAACCGCTTGTGCTACACAGCGAGTGTATCCTGAAAGGGCGTCCAAACGCTTCTGCACTGGAGGAACAAAAACTAAGAGACATGACTAGAATGTGAGCGGTCCGTATGGTATATACGTTAATACGGATGTTTGATTAGCATCGAACGTCCGAGCTTGGCATGAAGAGTAGGGAGAGCATCAATGGAAGCGCCTGAGAGGATCCGCAAGCGAGCTTTGTTCATGCAAAGAGGGCAGCACCAGCGACGACCGCCACTCCAGCGATCGCCAACTCAAGGCCACGACCCAAGAGCGGCGCAGCGCCGTTCTTCCCAGAAGCGCCAGTTTGGGACGGCGAACCGCTCGTCGCAGACTGAGAACCGGAGCCGGAGGTCTATACATAGCCGCGCGTTAGGTCCTGGCTTCGAACATATCACACCGGTGACGTCGTGAGAGACTTACCGAGCCAGAGTGGGAACTGGAGCCGGTCGCAGTCGAGGACCCACTTGCACTGGAGGAAGTACTGGTGGCAGACACAGCAAGGCCATTCCCGATCGTGCTAGTGGTGACACATGAAGACGACGCAGGCGCGGGGTGTGCGGAGGGCGTCGGGTTTTGGCCCTGGAACCAAGTCGAGCCGCCGTAGACACCCATAGGCTGCGGGCAGTTGTGTCTAGATACTGAGTGGATGACAGAGCTAGTAGGAAACGCACCTCGCCGGAGTCACCCTTACACGTGTCGAATGAACCGCTCGAATAATCGCCAGGCATGTTCCATTCGCAGCCCATCGTGTCGTATATGTGCTGGCATAGAGCGGGGGCGTTCGGACCATCTTTGCAGACGCGGATACAGAACTCGGTGTCTGAGACGAAGTTCTGAGAACATGATAAGATAGAAACGTCAGGGATGCCGTAAATAGGACGAATACAACGGTTTCTGCGCTTTGATGGATACGCACCGTCCACTCGTGCGCCTGGGCGAGAGAACCGAACGCAGATGTGAACACGAGACCGCCGATCGGGTTGCCTGTCGGAGCGCGACGTCAGTATGAGATGGCAAACTATGCCGTACAAGCCCAATCTGAAGCGCTCCGTTCTGGGCCGCCGAAATGGGAGAACTAGCCCCTGACCGAGACTGCCCACCACACACGCGCGCAACATCGGCCGGGAGCATCACATCGCGGCAACCGTGGCACTACTAACCATTTCCATCCTGACCATGTGGGTCAAGCTCGCCTCCCGTATCGCCCGCAGGAACGTTGATTTTCGTCAGGTCACCGACACCCAAAACCTGGACGTAGTCCGGTGTTTGGATGAAGTGCGCCCCGGTGATAGCGCCATCAGGGATGAGCCGTGTACCGTAGCCAGGCTTAATGCACCATGCGACCTCAATGCGCTCGGTCTCTCCGATAGTCGAACCCGCTCCGGGCTGAGGAGGGCCGTAGATACACCAGTCATCAATGGCGTTGACTGCAGCGAGAGCTTTAGCTTTAGGGAATCTTCGTTACTAAGAATGCGTACCATAGAGGTTCTGGCACGTAGAGTTCTGATCATTACCGCTACCGCATTGGTTGGTGCCCGACTGGCCTTCCTCCGACTGTTTGGGCGCGTTAGAAGGCAGATATGTCGCGCTGTAGGTCTGCGAGACTGCGACTGAGGCGAGGGCGAGGGCGAAGGCGAGAAGGGCACGAGAGCCTAACATCGTGGTAGACAGTCAAACAGAACCCAGAGAGGGATTAACAAGAGGTAAGTTTGGTACTGCACAGGAAGTGGAGCGGGGGGAGTGGGATGATATAGTGCGCAGTGTCAAGATCACACGAGGACTCCATGCGCGGTCGAGAAGCGGTTGAGCATAGGACAGTTTTGGCCGCTGTGGGCAGACTGAAAAAGCCCTACAGTGCCATGATCACCAGGTGTGGCAGGCGGACTAACTGATCTTCGGCGGCATCTGTCAATACTCCTAAAGTTCGACGCCAGACGCCGAAAGAGAAGCCCATATGAGATACTTCCTCGGGAATGAAGCTGAAGAGCGTGACTCACCATGACAGGCCGGACATAGTTTCGCGGTGACCGTATCCCGCAAGTACCATAGAAGAAGCTCGCCACCGGGATCGGGCTCAAGACGGACATCATTTCAAACGCGGACTGCGCAAATATCCAATAATTCTTTGACCAGGCCATTCTACGACTTCAGTGGGAGTTCACCTTCCTGATGTCGAGAGCATCCACATGCGGCTGTAGGGAAGGCTTGGCACCAGGAAGAGTGAACGCTCCATACCGTCCGTAGACGGCGCTCGACTTGCATGTACCGCCCAGCCCATTTTCTATGGCTTGAATCGGTTCGAAAGACGTGGAGGAGGGCAGTGTCATCCAGCCCGGTCTCTTCTACCATCTTTCGGATCCTGTGCGATGTCATATGCGAGGATGAGAGGCTGCTGCGCGGAATCGGCAGGAAAGTAGACCAACCTTGAGCATACGTAGAAGTTCTCTGACCGTAAGCACTGAGGATACATGCGGCATTTGGATAAATTGGCAACGTCAGACGAAGCTGAGAGTCGCGTTGGGAGACAAGGAACGCTTGACGATGCGGGGCGTTTGGCAGGAATTTGTCGGAGACAGAACTAGGGTAAGTTCAAGTAAGCATAGACACTAGCTCAGATAACCACTTTACATCTCCGAAAAACACGCGCCTGAAGACTCCCTGGCTAGTCCTGCCCAGTCTCACGACCACATCCAGCTCTCAGGCCTCTCTGAGACGGCGAGCACGCTTAACAATGTCATTTCTCAACTTGACGCTACTCTCCACCAGCTGAGCGTCGACTGCGGGGTCCAGGGCGCGCATCAGCTTGAACATGAGCTCCCGCTTTATTACCGTCCTTGGCGGCGGCCTCTCCGGCCTCTCCGCTGTTTTCCATCTCGCAAGACGCTTCCCGGCGCGTTCTGGAATACGCATAGCTCTCGTCGAAAGCTCGCAAAGGTTAGGTGGATGGGTGCAGTCGGAAAAAGTGCGCGTGCAAGATGGAGCAGGCCACGAAGCGGACGTGGTGCTCGAGAGCGGTCCACGGACTTTACGTCCTGTATCGAAGGCAGTCTTGGAACTGGTGAGCATTCGTTCCTTCCCGGTCGCCCGAGGGGTCAGGACCTAGGGTGTCCTGTGGCTCAGGATAGCCAGCCGACAGCATGAGGTTGGTGTTGATGCAGTGGATGTATAGGTCCACTTGCTTGCCCTCAAGTCCTCTGTCCTCACCGTCCCTCGGACCGCACCCGCCGCGCGCAATCGCTTCGTGCATCTCCCCGGTCAGGATGGACTTGCGGTCATACCTGGCTCGTTCCTTGCGCTCCTTCGTTCCCCTCTTGCGAAGATACTGGTTCCGGCTGTGCTCAAGGATGCTCGATTATTCTCCGGGACAGGTAAGTACCATGCGCGCATACTATAAGAAATTAGTGCCAAGTCTCTCATGCCCGTCAGTCTTGAATACGTCCACCCCCAATGACGAGTCTGTCGACGCATTCCTTACCCGCCATTTCGGAGCCGACTTCGCGCAGACGTTCGGCAGTGCGCTCGTACACGGTATCTACGCTGCAGATTCTCGTGTCTTGAGCGTGCGCTCCGCATTCTCTGCGATGTGCCAGCTCGAGGAAAGCGGCAAGGGTAGCGTAACTCGTGGGGCCGTCAGCGAGATGCTGACTTCTCGGAAGCGTGACATTAGGGGTTCGGCGGATGCAGGGCCTTACGAGCTCGGGGACATCCCCGAGCTTTTGAAGGGCACCAGCGTGTTCTCATTTCAGGACGGGATGCAAATCCTGACCGATACTGTAGTGGCTCGCCTCGCCGCACTGCCCCACGTTGACATCGTGAAGGGCGACGGCGTAATGGAGCTAAGTAAGGCCACTGACGAAGGAGGATTTGAGGTGAACTCATCTATTGACATTGCGCTCTGCAGCTCGACTGATTGGTCCACCGTAGGTCGCGACCGAGTCAGGGAAGCGACTGCCATCGTCGCACATAGTCAGCGCGATCCCCCTGCCGCATCTACACCGGCTGCTATCTACGCCCAATTACCCGCAGTCTGGCCTTGCACCGCTTCCGCACCTCACCGTCAACCCCTCCTCATCTGTTACTGTCGTGAATCTGGTCTTTCCACCAACAGCAGACCCCATCCACCCAGAGGGCTTCGGCTACCTCATCCCTCGACCGTCAACAGACTACCCCTCTTCTTCTCTCGGCATGCTGGGCACCGTCTTCGACTCCTGTGCGCTCCCGTCCCAGGATAAACCTATCTCACCCTCCCCGTCTCCATTCCGCTTCACCAAGCTTACCGTCATGCTCGGCGGCCCGTATGGCCCGCCCACCCCCGCTCCCTCCTCTCCGTCGTTCCTGCCAGCCCTCCTCGAGACACTCCGCCGGCACCTAGGGCGCGCCGATCCTCTGCCAGAACCGTGCCTCGTCCGCGTGCGCGAACACAAGGACTGCATCCCGACACCGACGGTGGGACATGCCGTGCGCATGGCGGAGCTCGCGACGGCGGTGAGGGAGCACTGGGGCGCCAACGTTGCTGTGATCGGCGCGGGCGTCGGGGGCGTGAGCGTGGGTGACTGCGTCGAGGGCGGAAGACGTGCCGCCTACAGTCTTGAGCTGTAGGATAGGGCGGCTTGTAAGTGTATGGTGTAGCTTAGTACTGTTCTGTCGACGCTCGGTGCGTGGTATACAACCCCATTCATCTCAACTGAGCCTTGGGCGCGACCCAGATATCTGTCACATACCACTTCGAGTTTGAGGGCATGTAACTGGAAGGAGGATCCGGCCCGAAGAAGCATTGAGGTCGTGAGGTCAACATTGCATCTTGTGAGGAACTCCGTGGGCGGACAGTATTCAGCACAATCGGGACTGGACAAGCTGAAGTATAACATTATGTACACGTACGCATACTTCCCTACCTAAAGATTCAGTCCATCTCTGATCCCCGATAGACTTATGAGGCGGCGACGTAGCAGTAGCCGGCACACGGCCGTCCGTATTAGTATTGTCCACGAGATTAGTATATACGAGTAACGACGGTATAAAGGAGCGACAGAGAGCCACCACTAGGTGTCCGCAGGAAGCGAGGCGTGCCTGGAGATCCTGCACAGTAGAGATAGAGGCACAACAAACGACGAGGTACAGTGCATGTGAAACAAAAGTCAGAGGGAAGTGCACGACCTTCGCCGTGAAGATTGAATGAGATAGCCTGTTGGCTGATAGCGTGTGAAGATGTGTGTCCATGGGGGTTGTCGTTCTGTTTAGTCAGCCCTGCGTGCGATGTTCTGAAGGCACCCAAACGGGCGGGGGTGCGAGTTTATGCAATGACAGCAGCGCCGACGATGACGGCAGCGGCGGCGACGGCAACTTCGAGCCCACGGCCAAAGAGCGATGCCGCGCCGTTGCCAGCCCCACCAGTGGTAGAGCTAGCGGGCGAAGTGCCGGAAGCAGTGCCAGAAGAGCCGGAAGGTGCCTGTGAACGTGGATATGAGCAAACCATTGAGTATGACACGCTCAGAAGGTCTCATTGGGCTTCGCCACACTGGCGCGGGCGTGCTGCCGCATTGTACAGTACTCACCGGAGGGGCCGAGGTCCGTGAGGTTCCCGTCGACTTCGTACCAGTAGCGGAGCCCGTGCTGGCACTAGAGCCGGTCTGGCTCGCGGCGCCGCTCGTCGTGCTAGGCACGCTGCCAGACGGCGTGGTACTGGCAGCAGCAGTAGTAGACGCGGGAGCCGAAGTGGTCGAAGCGGACACAGGGGGCGTCGAGATGGTAACACCGTTAGCGATCGTGTTAGCCTGCTGGCATTGGGACTTGGGTGGGGCAGGGTGGGCATCGGGCGTGGAAGGCTGGCCCTGGTGGAAGGTGGAGGTGCCGTATACACCCATGGGCTATACGCATTGACGTCAATTTTTGCTCAGCAAGGAGCATCGTTGAGTAGAGGAAAAGAGAGGCATACCTCGCCGCTGTCTCCATGGCAGGAGTCGAAGGAGCCGGCGGAGTAGTCGCCAGGCATGTTCCAGTCGCAACCCATGACATCGTAGATGTGCTGGCAGAGCGCAGCGGCGTTGGGGCCCTTGCACGCGCGTATACAGAACTCGTTATAGGCCATGAAGTTCTACAGGAGCAAGTCAGTTGTGGTTTACGCTTGTCTGAGCGCGTCTTCTTGCGCGCCACAGTCGAAGATGTACATCGTGGCAGTGCGCTGGTCAAAAATAGCACTCACCGTCCATTCGTGCATTTGAGTTACGCTGCCGAAGGCGTTGGAGAATACGAGTCCGCCAATCGGATTGCCTGTTTGCCATCATCAGCATCGACTCAGATGTTCATAGACGCCAGGCGTTCAATAGCATCACTAGTTTGGGCGAGCTCCCAGGCTGGGGAGGCGTTATAATCCACGCGCGTGGTCGGACAGCACAGCGACCAGAGCGCAGCCGCCCATCGAACACAGAGGCAGAATTCGCATCGCGACTCACCGTTGCCGTCCGCGCCGTGCGGGTCGAGCTCTCCTCCTTCGTCGCCCTGAGGGATGTTGATCTTGGTGAAGTCGCCGACGCCGGTGACCTGGACATAGTCCGGTGTCTGGACGAAGTGCGCGCCCGTGATCGTGCCGTCCGGGATGACGCGCGTGCCGTGGCCGCCCTGGACGCACCACGCGACCTCAATGCGCTCCGTGTCTCCGATCGTCGACGACGCGCCGGGATTCGGAGGCGCGAAGAGGCAGAAGTCGTCGAGCGAGTTCACTATTCGGGGACGCGATAGGGGTCAGCGCTCGGGCGATCCACGCGCCGGCTCAGGGAGCTTGGGCTGGGGGAGGGGGCTCACCGTAGACGTTCTGGCACATCGAGTTCTGGTCGTTGCCGGTGCCGCACTTGTTGGTGCCGGCCTGGCCCTGTTCAGACTTGTCGGGGGCATCGTCTGGGGTGTAGGTCGCCGTGTAAGACTGTGCAAAGACGGCGGACGCGAGCGCGAGCGAGGCGAGGGGAGCGAGGCGGAACATCGTGTTAAGGAGGGGTAGGGAGTGATTATCAGGGCTCGAGAACGATACAGGACCGAAGTCCGGGAAGCAGGGGAGGCACACAGGGAACTTGAAAGGGGGCAGGAGGGCACACTTGCGCGTACGAACCCGATAGCTTTAAGAGATACGACGGCCTGGGGAAATATGGCCATAATGTGCCGCTGGCGGAACTTGCAAATGCACTGACAGGGCCACATAGCGCGCGCCATCAGCTGTCCCGCCGGTGCAGCTCTCGACAATGCCATTCCCGGCTCGGGGCGGGGATAGCTTGCCATATTTTGATTGACGTCCGTTATCGCTGGGCCTGTTACAGCGAGGATTGTATTCTGATATCATCCTGGTGCGTCGCTAGCGGTAGCCTGATCATGAGTCAGTCTCGAGGTGGCTTTTTTTCCACGCGGCCTAGACATCACAATATCGGTGTTGAAGTTCGAAGATGCGGAAGATGTAGCAGCCCGAGATTCAGGACCTAGCGCTGAATTCACAGCGCGGGCACCGCATCCCCTGTCAAGTTGACCGCCGCGTAAGACATGCTAGCCGCGTGCCAGACGATCGAAAACCACCGACCGGACTCGCCCGACGTCTGGGCCTGATCATAGCAGCGCCTACCGATCACACTGAGGACACAAGCCAATGGGAGGATGAGGAGTAGATTACAGCGGGCTAAATAGGCCGTGGCTCGTGTCCCGAGTGCCACATCGATCCTGTACACTACATTAGCTACAACAGAGACACACCTAGACGAATAACACGTAAGTCATGATGCGAGTTACATACAACTCTATTTGTTGCGGAGAGGGACGTCTTCAACGTTAACACGCCTCCATACCCTATGCATAAGTAACGGAAGGGATGAGTATCTCAGACTACCCGCAGAACTCGAACCCAGGGCAGCCGATGGCGGTGCCGTAGACTGCGAAGAAAAAACGCGGGGAAAGGAAGATCAGCGCGAGATCGACACGAGATGATGGGGATATCACACTCACGGGACCCGTCCACCTTCGCGACGGCGAGCAGCGCCTGCAGCACGCCCCCGAGACCCTCCCCAGCGAGCATGCCCGCGGCGACCGCGAACATGTACATGCCGAAGCTCGAGGGGTTGCGCAGCGCCCAGAGGTAGTTGAACACCGAGCCGGCAGCCATCGCGATCGAGTAGTACACCTGCGGGGTGACGAACGCGAGCCCGACCGCGTTCCAGTTCGGCACCCAATGCCAGTACTGCTTCGGGATGAAGAAATACTTGACGACCACGGAGACGACGGAGAAGATGCCGAGCCCAATCGCGGTATAGCCGGAAGACGAGGGGATGGGCAGCTTGGGCGCGGAGACGGCGGAGGCGACGGCCGCCCACGCGCTGACGGAGGGCGCGCCGTATGTGCAGTCCCCGGACGCGGGCGGGTAGAGGATGCACGGAGAGGCGGTGGTGAACAAAATGAACAGACCGACGTTGAGGAAGACGGCCACGACGGCGCCGCAGAGCTGCGCGACGAACTGGTTGCGGGGCTTCGCGCGGAGCAGGTAACCGGTCTTCAGGTCGCCCGTCATGTCCGTCGATTGGGCGGCAGAGCCGGCGGCGATGACACCCGCGGTCAAGTTCATGGTCTGGGCGGGGTTCTGGGACAGGTGTGCGGCCTTGCCGATGCCACCGAAGATGAGCTGGGACGCCTTCGCGACGGTCGAAACGGGGTTGATATCCGTCGTGCCGGCCGCCTGCACGCCGATGAAGGAGAAGAGGAAGCCGAGGACGAGCGAAAGGATAGCCTCGCCGACGTTCATGGAGAACATCTTCGCAAGGATCGCGCAGCACATGATGATCGACGCGAGCAGGCCGCCAGTCCACCAGAGCGTAGGCACACGGTCCTCGCGGGGGGACAGGTCTTCGTCGGTGGCGGCGTCGTAATTCGGGTCCTCGCGGAACCACGTGCGCGGGTCGATGCTGAAGCCAGTCTTGCGGAGGTTCTCGATAACGGAGCCAGAGTTGATGGCGAGGTCCGCGAACGAGTAGAGCATCATCATGAAGACGCCAGGCCACAGGAGCCAGTAACGAGGCGAGGGGTGGGTAGTGTAGAGCTTCGGATCATTGAACGCGAGCGAGTTATAGGTGATGAGCGGATATTCGTCCGAGATGGCCTTACCGAAGGCAAGGCCGTTCTTGACTAGCGAAGGAGCGATGACGCCCCACGCGAGGACAGAACCACCGAAGAAGCTCCAAGAGGCATTAATACCAGAAAGCATACCGGCACCGAAGAACGCGGGCGTGAACTCGATAAACCAGCCATAGTTTTCGAGAGAGATGATGCTGGTGAAGCCGAGGCGGTACAGGGTCCAGCCAATGTGCCAGTCGAAGATCTATTCAGTATGAACCAGTCAGCGATCGACCACTCCCGAGTTAAAGGATGAATATCTGCTTACGACGCCGGGGGCGTATCCAGTCATGACCTTGAACACGAACACGATGGCGAAGGCGGACAAGAGCGCGATTGATTTCTTGCGCGCGGCAATCGCACCTGTGCGGGTGTTGTGCAGCGCGCGGATCGTGATGGCGGTAGCGGCGGGTGTGGGGAAGGTCAGCTTCTGCCTGACGATGTAGTACTTGCGGAGCGGGATGACGAAGAAGACACCGAAGAAGCCAGCGCTGACGGTGAGTGCGATCAGTTTACCGATATCATGCTTGGGCAGTTCCGAAAGCAGGCCGAGACGATACATGGCAGGGATAGCCGAGACGAAGAGGATGCCGATACCACCAGCGGCGGTGGCCGCGGACTGCACCGTACAGTTCTCCTTGGGACCGAAAGGGCCCCCGAATAGGCGGCCAATTATGCCGGACTCTGGGAGCGCCTTGGAGATGGGCTTGATGATCGCAAATCCGAGGATGGACTGTATGTGCCAGTCAGCTTACAGGTGCTTCCTTCAGCGTTCGCGTGCACTTACACCGAACAGCTGTCAGAGCAATGCGAATCAGCCACCTGTCCCCTCAAGCACTGATCGTCCAACTTACTTGCGGTCCGAATGTGAAACCAGTCTTGAGTCCGAGGTAGATGTTCGACGCACCGACCACCGCGCCCAGACAGCATCCTACAAACACCGCTCTACGAATCACCATCAGTTGGGCGCAGTACGACACCGGCAACACGAGAACGGCCTACCGGATAGTGAGCTGGTGCGTCTCCTCGATCTCACCCTCTTCCGGGGGGAATGGCCGTGTGCTGTAAGAGGACAAAGACGAGAATCCTGTGTCAGTCCCCAAGCCGGGCGCTGGCACGAGCCCGCAAGAGACAAACACTCACATATCCGGCGCGGTGTAGTCGAAGTGATCATCGTGGTCGTGTTCGTGATCCTTGGCCAGGTTTTTCTCGTCCGACGAGCCGCGCGAGCTCGCAGTGTGGTTCAGCTCGTTGAGGCCATGGACCCGTTCGGGCTCGTACGCTGTAGACGACATGGCAGCAGCGCTGGCGCAAACACTGGCAGGACACAAGCAGTGAAGGCGGAGCTGTCACAGACGAACCGCGAAGGTCGTGAAGTCGTAGGTCGCGAGACGGGAGGGGATCGCTCGCGGGGCGGCTACTGCTTATATATCCGGTCGATTGACTTCCTAAAAGCTCGAGATCAGGCATTGAATGGCGACACCAACATGACTCTTCGCGCGTTCGGGCTCCGGACCCAAACCATCGTCACGGATATGGAGCATGCTGATGGAGTGTCAGTTGTGGCGCTGCGTGCCAAGTACTTACGGGCGTCCAAAGCTGTCCGGGGAGCACGAGCACGCCCTGGAAGGAAGTCAGCATGTGGACAGGTACACCTCCAGACGAGCAGGGAGGGGCCTCGGCAGAGAATCTTTGATGGGTTGAGTGACTCACGCGATCATCGCCGCCGATTCGCTTATGTACTCCGCGATAGGCCCTCCAGGCTCCTTGGACGAGCAGGGTCACCTAACAGCGAGTTTGCGATAAGCACATAGAGCTTTTTTCGGTTGTGCTCTTACCCGCACTGAAGAAAGCAAAGGGGAGAGCGCTCGGATGGATGTCGACCAAGCGACCTGAAGTGGGGGTTCGAATTAGACTCACATGGAAGGCGAGGTGAACGCGGGGAATATCATGCGCTCAATATCATGCGTCGCTGATGCCCAGCCTTCAAATTCAAATGTCACAATTTTCAGCTACAATACATACTTACATACTACTTACCTAGCACGCAAGAGGTACCATGCACCGACAGCGGCCCATGAGTAGGCATTCCATGGATCGTATGGCGTTGCAAAAGTCGAGGTTACAGCGATGTGCAGAATGATACGGAAAACGCAATTCGCGCGAGACCGGCGCTCAGAGAGACGCCAGACGGTCACGGGACTCAAACCCTGACCGCTGTGACTTTGTTACTCATTGTGACAGAGGTGTGACACTTGGCCCTGAAGCACAAATGCGAAATCTCTTCATTGGGCAAGTTAGTTATTGCTTCATGAGACATAGATTATGCCTTATATGTTATAATAATGTTTGATATGCTCCTCTATCTGCTATTATGAGCCTTGGGGGACCATCCTGAAGGGCTACTGTGACCAGGATAGCGCTCGGTCTCCGGCTCTTTCCTGGTGTCCGACAGCCCGGCACAGCGTTTGGGTCTCCGAGCGCCCAACAGGCGCTGGCTCACAAAAAATGCGTGTTGAACTTGGACTTATCCGGTCCGGACTACACGAGGCTATGCGTCTCCTAGTGCTTAGCTGTAGTCGCTTATGTAGTATGTGTTGAACAGGCGCTGGTTTACACAGCTTGCCTAACACAGCCGTCACAAGATATGGAACGGCACAGCCGGTTACTGCAATAACCGAGGCTGTACTACTCATGTGGTACACACACAGCTTCGCTGTGTACGCACTGCTTCTCTGTGCGACTGTGCATCCTGGGAATGTACTGTATAGTACTACGTAGCCACAGATGTACAGTAGTATATATAGGGGACCTCTGTACCCCCAATCTACAGTTCAGTTCACTCGAACATCTCCTCTCATCGCTCTAACAAGCCTCTTACAACCAACAACCCTTCTAGGTGAGTTGCAGGCTATCCGCTGTCGTTGCCACCCGTGGGAGAGGCCTTCGCCCCCCGGGTTCAACAGGTTATGAGCCCTGCTCGACGC